GGGTAATTCAAATAGTAATGTTGAAACTTCATCTATTGATAAAATTAATGATATTGATATAGAACAATTAGATTTAAGTAATATTGATAAATTACAGTTGAAAGCAATTAAACAAATGAGTGAAAGAATGTGTAAAATTGAAAAAGAAAAATCTGATAAATTAATATATAGATTACCTGCTCTCAATCTCTGTTCGTATTCATTATTTTGAATTTTAAATTAATAATATTACAAAAAATATATTAATATTATTAATTTAAAAATATTTATAAAAGTCATCATTGATGACTTTAATAGTTATTTTTTTTACTTGTAATGAAATAAAATTAACCATATTATCATTATACACTAATTCAATTTCATAAAGATATTTATTAAGATAATAATAAATATCAAATAAATTATTTGATGTTATAGTACGAAAACGATCTTGATTCAAACATTTAGATGATGTAGATGTAATAATTAACCCATATTCAATTATTAAATTTAATGGTGTATATATTTTATGTAATTTATCTAACTCACTTAAATTAAAAACATATGATAATCCATTATTAATATTGATATTATCAATTTCAAAACAATCTAGGTTATTTAATTTGTAAGATTTATAAACTGGTTTATATTTATTAATATAATTTTTAATAATATTACTATTTTTTATTTTTAATAATCTAACATCACCTAAATTATAAGATAATACTATGTTTTTAATTTCTATTGGTAAATCATAAAATATCATATAATATTAATATATATTTAATTATTTAATTATTTAATTATTTAATTAGTAATTTTCAAATATTGAGAAAACTTTTTCATAAACATTTTATCTGGATTCTTTTCTAAAAGGTTAATATATAAAAAACTATGCGGTTCATCAGTGGCAGTCTCATATATTTTATAAATTAGTTTCTTGCTTTCATGTAAATTATCGCTTCTAACAATTGCTGATAATTCATCTTGCAATATTTCTATCTCTTTAAAATTTCTAACTTTATAATAAAACAAATGACTTATATTTACCCTAATAATTGGTGGTACGGTTGATGATTTTTGAAGACTTACAAGTGTTGATATTCCACTATGACGACCTCTACAAAATAAAGAATTTAACAATTTGTTATTTCTTGTTATTGCTGGATTATCAGATACATCATCCAAAATTACCAAAATATTAAATAATTTCTTCGTTCCTTGTTTTTTCTGGTATTCAATTATTTTATTTTGAGTTTCTATAACTCTTTCTAAATCTTCAACATTGAACTCATCCCACCAACACGGTTCTTTATCATTATCTACTTTCAAACCTTCTTTAATGTATTTTTTAACAGGCAACCAAATACTATCTAAATTTACAGATGGAGACCAGATAAAAATTCTTTCAAATGCTCCTCTATAAATATCAAGTATCATTGATACAAGTAAAGTTGATTTTCCACTTCCAGATGGACCGACAATCATAGCTCTCATTGGCAATTTAGGGACGACCTCATGCTTACTTTGCTTAAAGTCATATTTGATTTCATCAATTGGTTTTACATCAGGCATAATAAAAATAATATTATAAATACTTATAAATAAAAAAAAATATATAATATAATTATATCATAATGGCTATAGAATCTATTAATTTAAGTGAAGTGGCTAGTATTCGGAGGATATATAAATTTGGTGATGTCTTAGTTCCAGATACTGTACAAATATATTATGATACGATGTTATACTTTTTATCTGGAATTAAAAATTATAATATCGTAGTATCCAAGTCCGCAATTGAAAATGACAATAACCTAGATTTTAATTTTAGAAAGTTAGTAAATTTTATGAAAGATTATTCTAATATATATACAGATGAAATGATAAATAGTGTACAAGAAGTTATTAATAATAATATTCTAGATGTTGATATGCTAACTGCACTAAAACTTACTAAAGCTAAAGAAAATAATTTAAATAAATATTCTATTTAATATTAATGGAACATCATTATGTTATGAGTGGCGGTGAATAACATAATGGAACAGGTTTCCATTGCTTCAATCAGTAAGCATTGAAGCTAATTAGTTTGTATCTCTCTCGCGTGCAATGAAAACCCCAAGTGCTGTGCCCTCCGAATATTCTATCATGCATGAAAATAATAAGATTAAATAATTTAAATAATTATTTTATCTTATTATTATATGACTGTTATCCATTGCAATTGTTGTAAAACTTATGATGACAAATATTTATTTAAACATCTAAATTCAAAACATCATCAGAAATTTGTGGGATATAGATGGAATAAGGACGATACAATGAAAAAACTTTACAAGAGAAGAAAGACAGAAATTAAAAATAATTTATCTTATTATTTAATATGAAAAGGAGTTATTCAGATTATATTAATATAATAGATGAAATGGAGAATATAGAACAAGTACTAATAACTGATAATAGATGTAAAAAAATATGTTATTTTATTTTAGAATTAATTAAGTTTTTGATACAATATATTAAAAATATAAATGCTAATATAAATGGGAAAAAAGAAAAAAAGTAAAGACAAAGAAAGACCAGTACCAGATATTGAAGCACGGAAAGAAACAGCAGAAAGTGTTAAATCACTAGGCGAAAGTAAGACTATAAAATGTGATAAATGTAATCACATAATGAATTTTAAAAATGAATTGACAGTAGATAAGAAAGGCGGAGTTAAAGTTAGTTGTGTCCCATGTATGTTTTCTTATAAAAAAACAGATAAAGATTTTAATATTCAGAAAAGAACAGATGGTGATATGGTTATTGAAACTAACGAACATTTGATTAATGTTAGTTTTAACAGGGACATAAGTTAGTATTTAAAGAGTAGATTTAACATAATTGCACTTTATAAATATATAATTAAATAAATAATTATCTAAATAAATATATAGTAATGTCTGAAAATGAGAATTACACTATTAATGATTTAATGAAGAAGATAACATTAATTGGTAAAAATATTAAAACCTTAAATGATATGATTAAATCCATTGATGACAAAATGAAACCAGTTGAACGCAATGAAGATAAAGAAAAAATCGAAAAGATATTTCAAGCAAAATCTATAGGAAGACCATCGGGCGACTACCCGACAAAGCAAAAGAAATACTGTGATATGTTGAATACAGGAAAAATCAAACAACCTAAAAGCACCACTTTAGAATTTTACAAAATTTCAAAAAATGATGATGGAGTATATGTATTATTTGAATAAATAATATCTAAATAATTCTAATAAATGAATTTATTAGAATTATTTAGCAAGAAGACCTATACAAAATACCTAGCGAATTAATTTGTGAAATCTTAGTGAGTTTGACGGATTAAGGATTTTGAGTTTGGGGTTGGGCTTGCAACTTGAGCACATGCAATTGCAATGAACCAAACCACCACCTATTTTGATAAAATCGGGGAATGATTTTGATAAAATCGGGGAATGATTTTGATAAAATCGGGGAATGATTTTGATAAAATCGGGGAATGATTTTGATAAAATCGGGGAATGATTTTGATAAAATCGGGGAATGATTATAACCCTTATATGTTATAATTATAATGTAAAATGACTTAAAGGAATACAGACTTAATATAATAAGAGAAAAATGCCAATGATAGGAGTGACAGAAAAAGAGCTGGAACAGGATAGAAAGATAATATTGAGTTTCATTAAGGATAATCCCTATCCATCGTATAAACAAGTCATTGAAATAATTAAAAACGATAAAACAATGAAAGATATATATCCAGATATGTTCGCTGAGTATGGAGAACAAAATCATCAATGGATAAAAGAGATTTACGAAAACATAATGAAAGAAGAACTCGTTAAACATAATGGTAATAGTATTAATGAAAGAGGAGGAATGACAACAATGCATTTTAATTATTATACTTTGGTATCAGTGTTGCGTTATTTAATACAACAAAGAGCACCAATGAAAGATTATGACGTTAGCTTAATCTGGTATAATATCAGAAACATTTTGAGCAGTTCTTGGAACAACATAGGAGACTGGAAACACTAAAAACAGGTTTAATCATACTATAATAATAACATGTAAAATATTGTATGTTATAATTGTAATATATTTATCGTTTGTAAAGATTGAATTATTATAATTTGCTTATCTCTTTCAAAGTGCGTTGTTTAGACTTGGCATGCTTCTTCAATTTTTTCGTGCTTTGGCTGTTTGTTTTTGTTTTGTTTGATACTCTTATGATATTTTTTGTTGGTATGTTGCTTTGATTTTTGTTGATGTGTGTTTTTGAGTTTGGGTTCTTTGATGATTTAGAGTGTTGCTGTTTTGTTGGTATGCTTGTTTGAATTATTTAATGTTGCATGCTGTGATTAAATATTTTTGTTGCTGGTTGTGATTATTTATTTTGTTTGCTTGTTGTTCTGGATTTTGTTTTCTGTTTGTTGTGTTGCTGTTGGAAAAAAAATAGTAGAAAGAATAATTCTTTGAATTCTCCTTTTACTATTTTGGGGGAGGGGGGGGTGTCGGTTCTCAAGAGCCGACCCACAAAGGTCACAGACCAGAGCACCCCAAGCCAGCCCCCCGTCAAGCAAAGACCTCGATGCATCTCAACTTGTGGCAAATTGGTTGCTTTGGGTGTTGCCTTGAGTCAAACACGTGAGCATTGACATGATAGTATGGGTGTTGGTCTGGCTGCGTGCGTGCGCGTCACTTGTGTTGCATGAACAGGCTACAAACGCCACGGTCAACTAAAAGGTGTGCTCTTTTTGTATGACTGGCGGGGATTGCAGCGGGGGGTCTGAATGAATTTGCTGAAAAAGGCGGCCTTTTTAAAAGGACTCTTTGCTTTTGGGTTGCCAAAGTGGAAGGGAGTTCCTTTGACTGAAATTCAAGATCCTCAGCAACACTCCATCGCTGTGGATATGAAGGCCTCAAGAGTGCCAAGCCTTGCCTCGGCCTCTCAGATTTTGAGAGAGACCCTGAGACCGGCAGGTGCCGGAGGACCAGGTGCTCTTCGGCACGCCCCGGAAGAAGGAGGAGGCGGGGGATCGCGAACAAAGGCCATTCCGCCGGCCCGAAATTTCGAGCTGCCGGCGGTTTTGGTGGCAGGGAAGCGATAGAGGTGGAACCACTAGTTTTTTTGTTAGGGTATCCTTTTTGGTGGCTTCGACACCATCATTTTTGTGTGTCCCCAAAGAGAAGAGACACCCGGAATAGGAGCGACACCTGCAACCAGCACCTTCCATCTTTTTTTCTTCCCCGAATTTATTGCGCAAAGTGCATTTGAGAGCCGGGGTACCTTTGTGTTTGTTGACCTCCAAACCGTTTCTTTTTTTGGGCAAGGTAAAATGGAAGAAACCTGGTTCGGGGTTGGACACACTGGGTTTACTTGTTTCGGACACAAACTCTTTAAGTGGTCCGAAAGCCGTACCCACTGTCTAATTTCTGCCCCAAAAACCAGGGGTTTTGGGCCGCTCACCACAAGCTAAACTTGCTGGTGCTCAGTATAAAATTTTAAATGAACCCAGGAGGGCTCCCATTGAAGGAGGCCACCAGTTGGAGGGTTTATACAGGTCCTTGCATGTCTCATTCCCTGCGTTTCACGGAACCAGGCAAGTAAAGAACGCTTCCCGTCTATGACGGGAGGTACCCGACTCACCACCTGAGCCACAATCAAAACCCAGGTAGATGAAGGTTAGTAAGGGACGATCCCAACCATAAATAGCTGCGGATATGAGCCTTCTTAGTTCTTGAAACATGGTTCTGGGTGCACCATTTTGTCACTTGGCACTTGGCCCACACATGTTGCTTGGTGGTTGATGCCATGGCCAAGATTGAGCAGCTCTTTTATAGATGGCTGTGGGTCAAAACCAATGGTTCCATGTTGGGGTAGGTGCACCGCCCATTTTAGTCTATTTTTTGGTACCGGGCTTTGATTCTGACGCACCTCAGTCGCCTGAGGCGAAGTCGCCCTCGCACCTGCGCTCGCCCTTCAGCGAGGCTTCCACCCGCGCCACGAGGACACGCCAGCGAGAGCGTGAGGCGGCATGATCATAGGTGTCCTTTTTAGGTTAGTGAGGTTAAAGATAGCAGGCACTGGTTTAGATGGGTTTTATTCCAGTTACCAGGGCCATCTATTTTTCCAAAAGGACACCTATGGGCATGATGGTTTTGTCTTCAAGGCTTAGGTTCCTTTGAACTCATAGATGTCCTTGTGGGTCGGCTTGGTAGTTCGGATCCCAAAAAGAACTGGTTTAAACCAGTTGCGGGGGAGGTGATGTATAGAGGAGCTGAGTCGCGACGTCCAGTTCTGGCCAATGTTGAAACATCTAGCTGTATCTAGGGTCTTGCCCTGCACAAAAAAATGTCTGGGATTTGAGCTAGCTGTTCTAGATTCTGGGGGCAATGTCTTCACTTAAAGTCAAACCCAAGGGCAAAGAGCGACAAAGGGCTTTGGTAAATCCAAGGTGGACCCGTGACCCGTTCCAGGTTCACAAATGGAACGAAACTGAAGCTTCCTTTGAGGAACATGTCATGGGTGGCTTTTCCCGCAGCTTCCCTGTTTACAGATGGGAGGTCGCAGACGGAAACCAGATGGGACTTCGTTGTGTTTTCTTCACACCATTCGACCACAGACTGTGTCAGCCAAGTTCTCCTGCTAAGACCACGGCTTTTCGGTTTCATGGCGGGTTTGCTGGATTTTGCATTGCTGCAAAGTGGATCCAAATCGGGAACGTGCAGAAACTAGCAAGCTCCCCAAATGTTGGAATCATGTTGCTGCCCTTGACACACACAGAACACACAGACACGCACACGCACACGCACAAGCCGACACACACGCACACGCACACCCACACAGACACACAGCCACACAAGCACACAAACACACAAACACATAAGCACACAAAAACACAAGCACACAAGCGCAGAAACACACCGGCATGGGTGACACTTCTTGCGATGGTAGGCTTTGGGGGTTGCTTGAAAGGGCAACCAAAGGCAAACCAAAGAAGACGCATCCAATTTTTGGGCTTCGCCTATTTGAGGCAAACCCGCATGAGGCAGGTTGCCCACTCTTGAGGCAACTCCCAAATTGCCCTAACTTTGTTTCCTTTTTTCATGGGCGGGGGGTTTCCAACTCTGAGAGAGTTTCCGTTTGGTGGGGCGACGTTTGTAGGTTGGACCTACGAGGAACCCGGAGCTGATCCGTAAACACCGACCCTTGAAGAAACGTCGCCAGAAACCGACGAAATTCACGGGAGTTTTCGTTTGGGGTGCTGTCCTACAGATCAAGGCACCCCCTTCCCATGAAACCACTTCCTGAAATCTTCAAGAACCGCAGGGAGGACCCCTTCCCATGACATCCGCGACCCGTGTCGCTTGGCTAGGTCCCCCAGTGCCCTGTTACTCTTTTGTGGGGGAGGGTTCCCCTACTAAAATAGACTACAGACACAACATCGGGTACCAACTTATTCCAACCTGTCTACTGGAGGACCGAGTTGTTTAAATCGGAGGACCACGGCCTCGCTGCGGATCTCGGCGCCAGTGGCGTCCAGCGCGGCGGGCGCGGCGCGGCTGGGCCTGGCCTTGGGCAAGGCGCTGGTCTTCCGCCTGGGCTTCGCCTGGCGGCGCGTAGGCGGGCTCTGGGGCGTCTTGGGGGCTTTGGGATGGTTGGGTTTTGATGTTTGTGAAAAGGAGTCTTTTTTTTAATACGCTTCCTTTTTGTTTTTTTCTTTTTTGGGGCTGTGTGTGGAGGGTGGGGAGACTGGGAGAGATAAAACCAGGTGCATGTGAATTTCAAAGGGACACCCTTTGCAGACAATGGTCGGCAGCCGCATAAATCGCAATGTTGCAGTTGTGTTTGGCCACGAAAGTTCCCATCAAGGGGGCTCTTTGTTTTGTTTTGAGGTTGGGCCCCCAGCCCCCAAATCTCTTGCCACCATTCCATGCCTTGACATGCGACCATCGCGGCGAGCATGTTTTCAAGGCCTTCATTCAATCACCCCAGCGGATCCAGCCATTTGTTCTGCTGTCATGCAAAGATTCACGCATACAAACTACAAACGTGCGTACAAACATGCAGCCGCGGCAAAAAGGCGTATGCCACAATCAATTTGAAGTGCACATGCATACATATTAACAACATGTTCTTCTAAATATCACTGCTGCCGCGCTACTTTTCACTTCTAGTCTCCAGCTTTGGTCATGGCAACGAGGCGGGCTGTGCTCACAGCGTTGGGGGCTTTCACGGCGATATTTGACACCGGCGCGGAGCTCAACAAGACACACGTGTGGAATGAGCTGATTGAGCCGCACGCCCGGCTGCACATTGCGTGGCAGCTTGCCTCGAATGCTTTGGTTTTCGCTCTGGCAATGTGGCTGCTGTGGCGCGATCAGCCGCCTGGCATGCTTCGCGTGTCCGTCCGGACCGCTGCTGCCCTGTTGCTCGTGGAGCCCTTAGGATTTCTAGCGGCGGCTGCTGGGGCTACCCTGTACGAAGGCACGTTCTTCCCTTCCAACGTACCGGAGTATGACATCAAGCTGGGAGTCGTTCCTATCGCTTTGGCCGTGTATTTGGCGCTGGCAGCCGCATACCTGTTTTTGCTTCTGCTCGATCGCGACAAGCCTCATGTTTCCTGAACTCATATGCGGTGGAGAAAGTAGCAGCAAAGCCGTTGTAAGGGGAGGAGCTTTCCCATGCATTCTGCATTTCATGTACATGACATAGAGCATTTGTACATCTTGTTGCCCATGCTTCACTTTAATCTCTTCCCCCTATTAATAAATACGCCCCCCCCTATTATAAATAAATCCCCACATTATTATTATTATTGGGGTTTTTGGGGTTGGTTTTTGCTTGCTTTTCCAACAATGTGAGGGTTCACATAGGATTTGGAGGAAATGGATTGAATTGTAAGGTCCGTGAGTAAGCGGTTTAATAAGGACATTTTTATGTATCATTCTATTTTTTTTCAGTTTACTGGTTGTTTGTTTGCAGCCAGGCAGGTTAATTAGCCAGCATGTACGGGAGAGAGACAGTCGCAGCTAGACAGCCTTTGGGGACATGTTTTCTTTTGAGGGACACCCCAATAAAGGACCCAATTTAGGGAATTCATCTTTTGGGGAACCCAGCTTTTTGAAAGTGGGGCTGGAAGCTTGTTAAAAGTGCCCCCTAATACGGAGTCCAAGACTTTAGTATTGGTTTAGTATTGGCGCAATGGAAGATCAATTGTGCGGAGTGGAAATCTGGTCCCGGGCCCCGGATTTCCATTTTTTAATTAATTGGGGTCATTCATGGAGCCGGTTCCATGTCAGTTGGCGAGGTCAGTTTCTATTTTCTTACTCCATTCACCCAAAGGGGGGTGGTTTGGGGCGGACAACAGCTAGGATCTGGTGCAAGGATTCTCCCTACCCCAGGCGGTTTTGGGGACACATCCCTGGCAAATGAGGCCTTTAGGTTTGGGGTGGAAGAGACCCCCAGGTTTTCTTTGGGGGCGGTTTATGGGGGGTGGTTTTTGGGGGTGGTTTTTGGGGAGAGATGTTCGGAGTGCCCCAGCCACCGCCAGGCCAGGCGCGGGACAAGAGGCGGGCTCAGCTGCTGCTCCAGCAGCAAGAGGACTGGCGCCAGGCGGGAGGTTCTTCTGGGTGGTTTGGTGCGATGTTTTTCCACGCGCCGTGAACCTCTCTTTATGTGGAGAGGCCTGGATGGGTCTGTGTGTGTGTTTGTTCCGGGTCAGCGCGCACGCGTGTTCACCTCTCTTCGGTGGGCGTGTTTTGTTTGTTCTTGCCCGAATTTTTTCCGGCGCTGAACCTCTCTTTGGGTTTTGTGGAGTGGGCTGTTGCTTTCTTGCCCCGACTTTTGCCACCTGCTCTGAACCTCTGAGTGTTTTTTCTCCTGTTTCGCGTGGGGTTTTTGGTTATCCGAGAGAGTAAAAAGAAACCGCGACTGCCGGGAGGGCGCGGAGCAGCGCCTGGTGGAGCTGGCGAAGAAGGGCCAAAGGGCGGAGAGGCAGCGGGAGGCGCTGCGCCAGAAGTGCCAGGCGCGATGGAAGGACTCCATGTGAGGTTATGTGCATGTGTACATCTATACATACATGTAAGCATATGCATTTACAATATATATATATATATATATACATATATCTATTGTATGTACATATGCCCTAGATTTACATTTGTTTGAGTATGTTGGCACGTATGTTCTTGTTGGCTGCTTCACCTTGACAAGGGGCGGTGAGATCGGGGCAGATACATGCCCATTGACACTGAACAAATTCATAACCACGAAGGCAGTCCACGATTGCTCCTTCTTCCATTTTTTCCACAGGCATGGCGCTGTATAACTGCCCGAATCCATGTGTGGAAAGTCCGCGCGTGCGCTTGTCCTTTCCCCGCCCACGAGCCGTGGACGAATAGTTTGGGATTTTGAATTTGATGTCTCAAGTTCTCGCCAGTGAACGGCAAAGATCGGATATGTCATCGAACAACGAAGAAACCATGAGCTCGAACATGTTATATGGTCTCTTTTTACCAGGCAACATGATGTTCCGGCCGGTGTTTTGCTTTTTTGTCCCCTCGTCTTTCAAGGGGATGCCTTTGCAACGTGTCAACATCGGCGAGTAGCCGGGCCACGCCCCAAGCCGCCGCCCAGAGCCGACGCCCAAAGCCGCAGGCGGCGCAGCAGGGCTGCGGCGCCGCGGAGCGGCGCGCGGCGAGGCTGCGGACGCAGCTGGCGGAGGCGGAGCAGGCCACGGAGGCGGCGGATTTCAAATCGGGGAGGAAGGCGAGGGATTTGGATCCGTGGCTCAAAAAAAGGAGCCTGTTTTTTGAGCAGGCACTTGATAATCGAGAGGCAAAATCACGGGAGCTGCTGGTGGTTTCATACCTGGCGTTGCACATGTTTCAAGCGCAAGGTTCCAGTCCCAAATTTCCAATTGAGCACCTCCGGTATATATTTTAACTCATCTGAGTCATGGTAGGTGCTATATCAATCTTCTTGTTGGCCTTCTTAACCAACAAGTCTATGGGTTTTAGGCGCTTAAGTGGCAGTCCAAGTCTAGTTCCGCGCAACGGCTCGAGGTCTTTGGGCATGTGCAGCGAATAGCTTCAAAGCCATGCGCCGCACGCTGAGCCAAGACCAAACGCGCAATCAACGCACATGCCAGTTCGGGAAAAGGTTCTACTCTCTGATAAAGGGATTTCAGAGCGGTGTTAGGATCCACGTTGAAGCGTCTTCTGCTTTTTTGCTCTCGCAGAAAACCTCTGATCATTTATTTGGTGCGCGCGAACGACTAAACGCCTGCTTGGATGGGTGCATCACCCCCTCCCCCCCCACTTCGCCCATGGCGCTTCGGCATGTGGCCTCGCAGCCGTACCCATGGCCTTTCGATGGGGACCTGCGCCCGGAGAATACCGCGCTGCTGGCGATCGACATGCAGACCGACTTCTGCGGCAAGGGCGGGTACGTGGATAGCATGGGATACGCCCCTTGAGCTCAATTCGAGTGATGGGTTGGGTTTATTGGTCTTGAGTCTCAACGTCCTTCTTTTCCAGTTTTGCTGAAGAGCAACCCTGTAGGACATATCCATGACCAGAGCACCAATTGAGCCCTTGAAAGTGGTCTTCCAGACGCTGAGACGCCTGCGGTATCACATCATTCACACTCGCGAAGGTGGCTCGGCCGAGTCTCTGTTTTTCTCAACTGTTAGCCGAGTCTGGGTCCAAGTCAAAGGAGCCCCTTCTTGTCGCAGCGACAATTTTGGAGCATCTGAGGAGCATCCTTGATTTCCACCCACATCCCGCAACAGAGGGGCCTGTCCTTTTTTAGGGCTCCCAGAAAAAGGGTTGCTTGAACAGCAAACCAAGAGGAGGCCAGCCATTTTGGAGGGTCCCCTTTGAGACACTAGATCCACCCGCCAAAAACCGCCGAAAGCCGAAGTGCCTGAGGCCACCGGCCCTCGCTGGCGGACTGCCCGGCCAACAAGCGCTGGCGCTCCCGGCAGATCGGGGCCGGCATCGGCGATGCGGGGCCTTGCGGCCGGGTGCTGGTGCTTCGGATCGAAGACTTGGCTTCGGGGGGATCCATCTCGAAATTCACCCCGGAAGCTGAGAAGGTGTAGAAAAGGAGACGGGGGCCCACAGATTTCTCAATTTTTTGGTCATGGCTGGGGGCGCTGTTCCAGTGTTTGCGCTGGCCAGTGAACTAACCAGCGGGTCAAAACCAGCCCAGAGGATATATATATATATATATTATGTGTATAGTATACATTGGGCTGTGCACAGATCACGCAAAGTACAATTGCCTTGGATGACTTGCCTCTGGGCAGAGTGCTTGTTATTGCTTGAGGTTCGACCCACTTCGTGCCAAAGCAGACTTGGCAGAACATCCTTCTGTGTTTCCCCGAACTGGGCAGAAGAACCAGAGGCCCCACGGAGCAGTTCCGCAGTTCTTTCGAGTAAAACGGCTTTCGATCACGGCTCTGCGGCTTCTCATCAAGAAGGCGTCGGTGTCATGCTCACCAACAAATGTGAGGTCTTGGTTCACCGATCCCGGGCAAAAGGTTCTTTTGAGGCCCCGCGCCCTTGTCGGGTGAATTGCTCTAGTCCGTCCCTTTGTGTCAGTTTCTGTCACCGGTGACTTTGGGGGGGGACTCTTCTCCTGGCAAATCGGTTCCGTTTAAATTTTCGAGGTGCGTGGTGAAGTGGGCTGGAATCTCATCGAAGAGCTGAAGCCTGCGGAAGATGAGGACAGCGCTTTTTTTCTTCTTTTTTTCTTAGGGTCTTCATGGCAAGCTGTTGGCGCCCTTTCTTGGACCCCCTTCAAAGGCTCCACCAAGTATCAGGGTTCCTGGCATCCTGCCTTTGGCGGGACTGCCCAGAGGGTGGATTTTGATTGGGACATACATGGAGCCTTGTTTCTGCCAAAGGGCTGCTTCCCTCGTCTCTTGTTGGTTTCCGGTTTACGCCAACCGGGCCCTGCTCAGCCGCCCTGCCCTCGTTGCTTCCCCGCTCAGGAGGTCATCGACAAACCCGGCAAGGGCTCCTTTGTGGCGACCGACTTGGATCTGATCCTCAAGCAAAAAGGAATCCGAAATCTGATCCTCACCGGCATCACCACGGACGTGTGCGTGAGCACCACCATGAGAGAAGCCAATGACCTTGGTTCCTCGCCGAGCTGAGCTGGGTTTAGGGGATTTGCATTGCAAGCTGGGAGTTGGTCATGTGCTGGAAGGTATCCCCAATTTGGTTCATTCTATTGCGACCGTTTATGTTAGTTTTATCTTTTAATCAGCATGGTCCTGGGAGCTCCTCATTTGTCCAGGGAGGTTCATTGGTTAGGGATGAACATTCAATGGCCCCGGGGTCAATCTCGTGTTGATCCATCTGGGTACACTCTCTGGGATGAACATAAGCGCACCCATGGTGAAGTTTCCATACTTGGGGATTTGCTTATTGCGGGCTTTGATCCCTTGCTTTGGTTAAACAATCCTGCCCGGAAGGCGTCCCTTTATGTTCAAGCAAAGGTGAATGGTCAGGTTTGCCCGAACGCTTCTGACTGTTTGGTCACACATGAGTGTGGTATGTGGGTCTGTCCTCAGGAGGGGAACCTGGAGGAATGACTTTTATCCTCAGGTTCACAGTTTCACGTTTTGCCCGTGTCAAGCAAAGATGCTACAAGGTGGCTTGAACATACGAAATCGACATGTTGATGAATCAAGCACATGGGGTTCACTAAAGACCTCTTTTGGATAGGCATTCGATCTTGGTGAAGACAGTAGCAACATGAAGCAGCCCGACCCCCGGCCCCGCAAGGAGCTAGGGGCTTTGCGCGCAAACACACAGCTTTGTGTGCGTTGTGTGTTTTTTCCCAGCCTCTTGTTGCACGTCGGATTTGTTGGGGAGACCGTACCAAGCACACATTGACATATGTTTTCATGGATTGTTTCCCGCAATTACATGCGATGATTGCAGGAGCGAGGTTGGGGGGGAAGGCTAAGGGCTTGTTTTTTCGGGTTCCCTTTGTTTGGATCTTCAAAAGGGACACCACCAAACCCACCATTTTTTTTGGGGCTGCTCCATTTGGAGACTCCTGGCCGCCTCGTTTGGCCTCGCGTTGCATTCGAGGCTACGAGTGCCTGCTGCTCTCGGACTGCACGGCGGCCACGGACTATGGGAACTACCTGGCGACCCTGAAGACAACCATGCAGTCGGGAGGCTCGCTGGCCGATGGCTGGAGGGTTTGTTTGGGTTATCCGAAGCGGTGCTGATCGCTCTCGGGGTTGGTTCCTTTTCCATTCTTTTCAACCATGGCTCTTTCCAAGAACCGGCCGTTTTCCCTGGGTTTCCGGAGGTTTTCTAGAAAGAAGGATCCCTGGAAGGAATGGGGAAGGTACCCCTAGCTGGAAAGACGAGCCATGTTCCTCGGGTGACTTTGATGATGGCGAAGTCTCCACACTCAGAAAAGGCACATATTCCAGGGTTTGGTTGGAAAGGTGGAGGGTGGAGTTCTCAGAGCACCCAAGCGTCCACACCGCCAAACCTAATTGACGCTTCAACATCAACCCCCTCCGCTTGGCGCCCCCGAGCGGCTAACGCGGGGCTGCCTCGTAGGCGTCTTCGGCTGCGTGGCGCCGGCCAAGGACCTGCTGCGCGCGCTGGGCAGGGAGGCGCCTTCCGCGAGAGAGCATACGTCCGAAAGAGGCCCCCCCCCGTCCCATCCGGCCTCTGGGCCTCTCATCCCCCCTTGCGTTTTTTTTTCTTCTTCTTCTTTCTCGAAGGGCTTTCCCTGGCTGCAACAGAGAGGTTGTGCCAAGGACATGGTTGGAGCAGATTCAAGATGACCTGTGGGTGACCCAAGGGTGGGTGCGAACTCACTTGGCCTGTTTGAACTGCGGTCCGCAATCGGCTCAACTGGCGTGCCTTTTGGGCACTTCTCAATGCAAGGGATCCCCTTTCGGGCCGAGCTCAAAGGGCAAGGTAAGCATGAAACTACAGCCATTTTTGCGGGACTCTGTGGGATCTCTTTCGAAGGAGTGATACTTTGAAGCTTCACGAATTGAGGGCCAGAATCAGAAGGATGATGTTTTAGGTGGGCAAAAGCTGTAGATTTGCTCACCGCTCGCACGCCGGGGTCCCAGGTGCCATCGCACTTGGAGGAGTTGGTGTACCTTGACCTGGGCGATGGGCTCCGAGCCATGGTGCCCAAGGAGCGGCTGGCTGAATGGCTGGCTGACGGCACCAGACGTCCATTTGCCGGGTCGAAAAGTAGATCTCCAAGGGTTCACTAGTTTTCGGAGCTACACACATGTTTCAGGGTGTCCGACTCAAGCAAAGAATCGCCAGACTAGAGGGGAGCCGTATTCCTCCACCCCGCTTGGGTGAAGGTGAATGATGGTCAATGCAACAGATCATGTTTGGGGGGGGGAATGGAATTGAAGCCGCTGCGAGGCTTGCAGCCCATTCAAGTGGACGAGAAGCTAGAACCGCTATCGTGCCGAAAGGTAAGCTCTCTTAGACCCCCACTTGACAGCGGGAGCCCGGACAGCACACCTTTTCCCTCACAAGCTCCGCTTGCTTTGGGAGGAGACCAAGCAGGCACCTTTTAAAAAATTGGACACGTCGCAGGTAGATGATGAAATGACCCTGCAAGAACAACTGTGATCGATGACCCCAACACTCACCTCCTTTGGGCGAGTTCAGAAGAATGGAAGGACTTGCAGATCCGAGCTGTATCCAAAGGGGGCAGCCTATACATGAGCATTGGGTGACTTACGGATTGAACATGATTTGCCAGATCCAGCCTTTCCTCATTTAGTTGCCTAGCTCCATGCTATCGCGGTAGCGGGATCCACTTGGTTTGGCATCTAGAGACGTTCTTTTGGTTCTTCTTTTTCTCGGCGAACCTCCCTTTTTGGTCTGTTTTGAAGGGAGCCAACAAAATGAAGCCTGTCGTTTCGGGGCCAGGACAAAAATGGCTGTGGGTCAAAACCAATGGTACCATTCTGGGGTATAGGTGCACCACCCATTTTGGTGGGGATTGGGATGTTCACTGGGGGTAGGGGATTTTGACCCACGGCCAAACGAGACAACCAGATGTCATCTTGTGAGCCGTGAGGAGGGGACAATGCCGCGGAGCTTGGCGGAGACGATGGTGGCTCCTTCGGCGGCGTCGCTCGGTGCGGTTGAGGCGGAAGGGTGCGTCTGTGAGTCTGCACCTCTTTCAGGTTGGTTTAAAGGGAGCTGAAAGGAAGACCGCAATTTAGGGGCCCCATTTTTGTTGACAGAAACCCGAGTCTGTGTTGGACTTCTTTTGGGCTCAAGAAATAAGGGACAGAATCGAATCGATCCAGTTTTTGGAGGCAAAAGCCGAGATCACCTGCCCCTCCTGGGTTTCGAAAAAAAAACACGATGCATGGGCCTGTCACCGCATGGCTTGGACCATTAAAAAGGCCTTGTGAACAGATGCTTCTGGGCAGTTGACACTGACGTCTGAAAAGTTTGTGGATGGGGTGTCGAGCAACCTGCCTGCACCCCTCCAAGTACCAGGGTTCAAATACAGGCAGTTGTTTAACAGTCTCCACACGTTTGTTTGCATAAAGTTAAACATGCAATTGTTTTGCTTTGCCATCATTGTGACCATGTCCAGTTTTTTCATCCTCAACTGGTTGCAGTGACACTCTGTCAACTTCCATCCTCTCGGAGATGGCCCCCGATCTCTGTACATATGGGTGGCTGTTTGGAGAGTCATGTTCGAAGGGAACCTCCAAGAGGGACTACGACATCTCTGACTTTTGCAGAGTGTGTGAAGGCGACTCATTTGCATTTCTCCTGCACATGAGGTTGCAAGCTTATGAGGGGCAAGGCCACGAATCGAGAGGTGTTCGAGGGACATGCAGTGTGGCAGTCCTCTATGATGTTTCATAATATATATATATATATATTTAGATATGGTCACACCCCCCATGAACTACATTTGGAGCATGCGGCTTATATATTTATACACACGTACCTTAAAACGTGCACAGGTCTTGAAATGTCCGTTTATCCACGGAAAGGGAGGGGGTTTTCAAGCTCTATGCTGTCCGGAAAGGGATAGAACAGCTCAGGAGGATTTCCTCCCAAGCACTGATGGAGTATGTAGCACAACTTGATTAGCTCTACACCCTAGAGATTTCAGGGACCTCAGCAGCGATGGTACTTGAATTGAAAGTTGCAGATCCTTCCTTGTTCGGTATGCAGCCACCTGTGGTCTTGGATGTGGGGTGGGACGGGTCCACGATGACACAAGCATCAAGGAACTCCTGCACCACCTGAAATAGAGGATGCTGCAACCCAACAAAGCATTACTATCTAATCAGAGGATCATTATTACTCGGGTTTCTATCTTGGTGCCTGGACCGCAAAAGCTGGTGGTGAAAGATTTCTGCATGGACGTGGCCCGGATGTTGATGCTGACCCGCTGGTGATGCTGCAGTCATCCAGCAGGTTTGGCTCGGGTAGTTTCGGTCCCGTCTACGTGAGCTGCGGTGACATGTTACAGGTAGTGCTAATGCTCTCGACAAAAGGGCGATTTACTCAGCATATTTGCAAAGGAGACACCTTTCTACTCATCATCTCGTCAACAACCCTTGCTCTGTGCACAACATCCCGTCAAGTTTGATCCTTGCCCATGTGCACGTGCATCTTCGTGGTTCCTGTCACTTGCGTGGGCTGCCTGGGCGGCTCCTGCGCCGGCTGCAACGCTCCCAGCTGCGCGCGGCAAGTCCCCGCGGAGTGGGCCGTCCTGCGCCGTCCCGAAGCCCTGGTCCTGCTGGTGCTCTTGGGCTGCCTGGTCTGGAGCTCCCACCGGCTCTTCCCAAGCAACATCTGGTCGGAGGCGGGAGATCAGAGGGACGCGGATCACGAGTATCCGGTGGCGGCGACGTGTGGCGTCGGAGCCGCGCTGATCGCCTTTGGCACCTTCGGCACGTGCGCCCGGACCTGCAGCACCCGATCGGCGGGTCCGTCGGAGCTCCCTTTGAACGAGCGAGACATCGAGATCCCAGAGGCGAAGTACTCCAGGGAATGGATCTGCATGATGGTCTGCTGGGCGCTCGCCATTCTGAATGGAGTCATGGATCAAATGTCTCAGGACCCGTTCTTCAAGTAGCTCTGCGCTTGCAGCATTGCTGTTCCTCTGCCAAGCCGTGCTGACGTGGTCCTCAAGAATCCGCTTACCGGAACCTGACTTCGCGACTGGTGACCTAACTGGCAGATCTGCCAAGACAGTGAACGACATCTCTGATGTTGAATGTACATACAACGAATGGGATTTCCGGGAAGCGTCAGAGAAGATGCCAGCAGCCCGCAAATTTCCTGGCACCTTTCAAAGATGGCGGCGCCCATCAACCGATCATGAACGACACAAAGAAAACCAACAAGGTTCTCAAAGCGGGATCCCTAGTTTAAGAAAACGCCACAGAATCATTTTGTGTTCTGTTTTTGAGTCTCCCCCCCAAAAAAACAAACAAGAAGCGGGATTTTCCTTTTGCTTCCTCAAGCAAGGGACAACCTTATACAAGGCGTGCTCTCGTGTCCTGGCGGCTTCCGGAGGCGGATCCCTACGCCTGGCCCTTTGAGGGCCGGCTGTCTCCGGAGAGCACGGCGCTGCTGGCCATTGATCTGCAGACTGGGCCCCAGCTGTCAGCTGGGCTCCGGGCTAGGGGGGGGGTGGAGGGAGTGCCAGAGACATTCGCGAGGCGATGGGCGGACATCCCCGAACCCCGAAAACCAACACAGAACCCGGATGGGACCCCTTGGAAGAATGGGCAAAGGGACGCTCATACAAGGCCAAATTTGCGACCCAGCGGATGGAGTGAAGGACAATTGTGCCAGCCGCGGAACCTTTGTCTGGCTCCTACTAATGTCGAAGCGGCCTAAATGCTTCAGGGTGGTTTTCTTCAAAGTCGGCCCTAGTTTTGACACATCCCATTGAGTGTACAGGAAGCTGATAGTCTGTGGGACATTTGGGGAGGAGGATCCCGAATCTGACTCTATGTTGCTTGCGGCCATAATCTCTTCCCCCTATTAATAAATACGCCCCCCCCCTATTATAAATAAATCCACCAAAAAGGTATTTTTTTTAATTGGGGTTTTTGGGGTTGGGTTTTTTCTGCTTTTCCGACAATGTGAGGGTTCACATAGGATTTGGAGGAAATGGATTGAATTGTAAGCTCCGCGAGGAAGCGGTTTAATAAGGAAATTTGATGTATCATTCTATTTGTTTTTCAGTTTACTGGTTGTTTGTTTGCAGCCAGGCAGGTTAATTAGCCAGCATGTACCAAAAGAACCCAACCTTTTGAGAAGCCAGCTTTTGGGGAAGCAACCTTTTGGGGAATTGAGGAACCCACCTTTTGAAAAGTGAGGCTGGAAGCTTGCTAAAAGTGCCCCCTAATAAGGATTCCCAGACTTTAGTATTGGTGTAGTATTGGCGCAATGGAAAATCAATTGTGTGGGGTGGAAATCTGGTCTCGGGCCCCGGATTTGCATTTATTATTAATGGGGGTCATTCATTAATAGGGGGAGGATATTATTTTGTTTATTGCTCCGCCAGCAATTGTTCGGAGTGAAGGTTAAGGCGTGGGCTTGCTTTTGACCAATGCAACTCAGCGTTTCGGGAGGTTCATGTCCTACCAAGTGTGAAGACTTTTCCACGTGTCCGGCGGAGCCCATGCAAGGGAACCCACAAAAGAAAGCGCAAGTTTTGCTGCGGGGTTTCTTGAGAGCTGGTTGAATGGTCGGCTTACCTTTCCAAGCGCGGAAGCTTTCGGAAGGAAGCCAAGCGGAAATTCTTTCCCTCACAGCCTGGGAAAGGTGTTGTAGATCCGTCTGAGGGGTTCTTGGAAGGGTTCTGAGGTTTCTTGCAGGCAAGGGTGGCCCGAAGACTGTGGATGTGCGAAATGCTTGCACCACCTAAGAAACTCTGGAATGATTGGATTTTTTTGCAAATACCCACACACGTTATGGTTTCCTATGGTTTCCATGTGGTGCGAATGGATGACAGTATCCCCCTGTGCGATCTTCGATGGGCTCAGGAAGGACTTCCTCCACCCGGAGGGGGCCTTCCCCCGCGCGGGCTTCGGCATCGCCACGGCCAAGGATGGGGCAGCTGCCACATGCAAACCTCGCCCCAAGCCACGAATGACGGAGTTGGAGTGGATGTATCAGGTGTTTCCGAGCCATTTCCCTTTCTGCAACCTGAAAAAGTGGCGATTGTTTCCAGGGACACCACCAGTCGATGGCAACCTTTGGAGGGGGAATCTAGTGACCCCTGTGTATACTTTGTTTACTGGTGGCTGTGTGATGTTGCCGATTCTCGTGGTTTGGGGGTAGTGGAAACCACACAAAAAGAGGGAAGTTGTTAGCTTTCCAGGAATAGTCCAAAGCGAATCGGGCATTCGACCCGAAAGGACCTTGTGAACAAAGCTTGAAATATGGTCCCCAAGGATGAGCTGACTCAACCGCGTGGTCCCTTTTGGCATGAGCATCATGAGCACTTTTTCCTGCTGGCTTCTTCTCGTGCCATTCAGGCCCTTCTCTTGGTTGGTCGGTCGGTCGGTTGGTCGGTCCGTCATTCGTTTGCACGAAGCCAAGCCTGAACTCACCCAAAAAAACGACACGTACAGCATGGTAAACGAGTGTCAATTCTACGCCATCGCTTCTCCTGGCTACAAGAAAGCTCAACACAAAGCGCCTCACATGAACCCTGAAGCAATCGACAGTTCACGCACGCAAAATCCATCCTCAACCAGCCCCAAGTAAGCTACCCTAACTCAACCCTAACACCCCAACTTCACCAAACCAGGGGCACAGATGGACCGGAGGCCTGCAGACAACTTTTTGGAAAGCGGCGCCAGGAGGTGGTGTCGCGCTCCGCAGAAGTGCTGCGGGCGATGCGGGCCAAGGGCTTCCACGTGCTTCACGCGCGGGTGGGCAGCGCGCCCTCCCTGGCCGACTGCACCAGGCGGGGTCTCAAGGGGGAGGGCAGGAGGTGCGTTAGTTCAGTTCGTTGGAGTTCCCACTCAATGGTTGACCCCAAGCTTCTCACTTGATTTGCTGACTTTTGATGTTTGATTCTCGTTATCCAACTGGGCAATCAGAGCAGGCAGAAAAGCAGCTTGAAGAAAGCACCTGCAAATACTGGGGCACACAGATCATGGTTGGCAGCCTAGGGTGATCAGAGGTGTTCTTGCTTCGATGCTGGCATACAGATACCCGTTCTGTCTACTTATCCAAGAAGGTCCGGTAAATAGGGATTCCTTGTTTGCGGTTTATTATTTTTCCGACCTCCGAGACTGAGATAAGGAACTTTTTAAACCTGGTACCGGGCTCCTGAAATTTGGACATCCAAGCATGGTTTGGAAACTTGCCCGTACCTACACCCCGGTTTATGGGGTGTTTGTATACATAAACTGAAAATTGCCCACATGGTGTCCTGTGGGTGTCATTTCGAGGGTACCTTTCTTTTTGCTGGTTTTTTCAAGGGAAACCAAAGGAAAGCCACTGGTCTCCCCAAGTTCGAGGACCAGGCCACATGTGACTCCGCACCAAGGCGCAAGGTCTTCCACATGAACCGCTCGCCGCCGCAGATGGGGCAACTGGGGCCCTTGGGCCGGTGCCTGGTGCGTGGTGAACCAGGCCGAACGGGGATGGACGTCAGGGCTGTAAAATCTGGTGTCCTTTTTGGTGGTTTTGCTCGAAAAATAGATGGCGATTCCTGGCTTGCCTGGTGGTTTAATCATCTACCAGGGATATCCGCTTCTTGCCATTTATGCAGTTCTGCTTCTTGCGAGTTGCTCATGAACATTTTCATGCACGACATCCGCCCCCCGAAGGAGACAGACACTCAGCAGCCGAGCGCATGCCGCAGGCTGGGACTTTATGGAGGAGGTGGTGCCATTGGAGGGGGAGCCAGTGGTGGACAAGCCGGGGCGCGGGCCTTTGCAAAGGGCCGGGTCTGGGCTGCGGAGTTGCCAAGCTTTGGTTCAACTTGTTGTGATGTTTCATTTCATTGTCAGGGGTTGGGGGGGTGGGGGGTGGGGACGGGGTGAGGGCGTAGCTAAACAACTGCGGCCTCCAAGTGTTTCAGCGTCAACGAGTTTGTTTGATTTTTCTTGGCTCAACTGAGAAGTGCAGGTCAGAGGTGGCCCGACCCTGCGAAGCGCAATCAGGGTGGACATGTTTCCTGCTTTGGACGGGGGTCAAAATCCGCGTCGGAATTTGGGCCAAAAAAACATATTTTTTTCTTGACCAATCTGTGACTTTGACCTTCCTCGGAGTTTCCAGGCGACGGTTTGATGGACTTTTTGTTCCCATAAAAACGGACAACTTGTTCACTTGGAAGATTCGTGGCTGAAAACTGCCTCAAGCGTTCCTTTCGCTCCAGCGATCCCCGGGCTTCGCTTGAGGATGGGGGCCTTCAGCTTGACGTCGCTGGAGCTGACCCTCCACTCTCTGAAGGTGAAGAACCTGGTCCTGGTCGGGGTTACCACCGACGTGTGCGCCCCGGCCACAAGTTAAAGGAGACGGCGCTTTGTTGCACCTTTGTTCTTTGGCAGCTTTCACTCAATATCTCGCCCAACATCTCGCCAGAGAAAAAGACAGAGAGATTGAGAGAGACAGAGACAGACAGAGAGACAGAGAGAGAGAGACAGAGACAGAGACAGAGACAGAGACAGAGACAGAGACAGAGACAGAGACAGAGACAGAGACAGAGAGAGAGAGAGAGAGAGAGAGAGAGAGAAGGAAATGATCGGTTGCCTGTGTGGCCCTTGTCCCTCGGGAGGGGAAGACTTGTGCAAACAGCGAGAGATAGATGACGGGAAACCTCGGCCCAAGTTCCGAACCCGCTTGAAACAGCCAGACCGTGGGCGCCTTTCAGGAAGGGTATGTGTGGCGTTCCTGTTTCAGACATCTCCAGGTAGGCAGCGCTGGTTCCGTGATGCGACTTTGGCTTGTTTTGATGGATGAGCAAATCAGCTGAGGGCCGTTTTACCACACATCAAGAAGCAAATGAGCATATTGGAGGTGACCAAGCATCGGCCAGTCAAGAATGCAGAGGGCCAGCCAAAACTGAATCCGTCAGGAACACCTTGCAAGCTTCAGGTTCAGTTTCCTTGTTGGAGGCTCTATCGCCAAATGGATCGATCAAATCGGCTGGATTCTCGGACCGACTGAACCAACCGGGGAGGGAGAGAAGGGTGCTAGCCGGCTTGGGGAAGGCCACAGACTGTTCAAAATCTATTCAAAACTGGACCACCAGCTCACAATTGAGACATGTTGAGAGGCGGATTTGAGATTGGCGCCGTCCATCGGTGCTGTCCATCGCCTTCTCGGCATCCGTGAACCCACGCCGTGGGTTTTTCCAAGGCGTCCACACCACGCTGCGCCAAGCCAACGACCGCGGCTTCGAATGTTTGCTGCTCTCCGACTGTTGCGGCGCCGCTTTCCCCGAGCTGCACTTCTCCGCCCCCAGACGTGAAACCTCAGACGAGTCGAGTCTGGAGGGTCCCCAAATGGCGGCTTTCCTTTTGACGCCCCTTTACCTTGACCGACCAAAAGTGAGGTTTGGTCAAAGGATCCAAGCCTATATTTCGTGGTCCAAAGGGATGAACTTCACAGGCTGGACGCACCCCTCTTGGTGACTGTGTTTGCGAATCACATGCCAATCTTGGTTTCAAATGCAGGTGTCCGAAAAGTTGGGCATTTGGGGGGGTTGAGCAAAAGGTCGTTGAAAGGGATGCCCATGTAGGAATCTGTAGGAACCGGATTCTCCGAACATCAGGGGGGGGGGGGCATTTCCATTGAGAAAAAAACCGCCCCCGGTGGTTTGTCTCTCGCCGGAGGCCTTGAAGCAGGTGAAGATGCAGCACGGGGTCTTCGGCGCGAACGCCCAGTGGTACAGTTGCGGCGTCCCCCCCCCCGGGCCTTCGGGGGCCCCAAACCCAAAATCGGCTTTGGCCTTTTGAGATTTTTTGCAGGTTCCGCTAGTTTGAAACCACAGGTAAGGATACCTCCACTCCGGTCCGCCCAAAAATATTGGGCCGAGTTGTTGCGCGCTTGGGCTGCAAGATGCCAGAGTTTTGGAGATGGGATCAATCGGATGCCAATCCCATTTGACACTCAAGGCCCAAGTTGGACGATGTTTGATGTTGTTAGGCCCTATTTCCTGAGCTCCCTCCCCACTTCCCCCTGTACCCCCCCCCTTCACCTCAGGTTCAGCTTGGTGAGTGCAGGGAAAGCCACAGGGCGCACCCTCATTTTTGGCTCCAAAGCCGCAACATGTCCCTATTTCGACATGCCCATTTTGTATTTTGTATTTCGTGGCGCCAACAGAACGACCACGCCACAGGTCAAAATGTCAAAAACACCGCAAAGTGAGGCGCTGTGGCGGAGAGCGCGGCGCTGCTGCGGGCGCTGGAGCTGGTAGGTCGATCGGGGTTTGGATGGTTTTGGTGGGTGAGCGCCAGTTTTCAAAATTAGAGGCCCCCCCAGATGGTTGGTCTCCTGTTGGTTTCCCTTGAAAACCATCCAAAGCGGGCTCCAGACAGTCGCATTTTGTTGGGGGGGGGGGTTCTACTTGGGTCACCGGTGAATACGTGCCGAAGGGTCCGGAATGACCTTGAGTGGGAAAGCTTCAGTCACTGGACTGGATAGTTCATGATTTTTTGATTTTCCCAAGAGGAAGTGAAGGGGGAGTGGTGATGTTGTGCCAAACTTTTCCGGGCCGGCTATTTGACAGTTGGGATAGCAAAAGGCTGCAGTGCTTTCCCTCGCAGGCTTTGAATGGTGACACGGAAACGCTTTGGCTGCCAGCGAGCCAAAGTGGTCGCTGCAAGCTCCAGTTGCGCAACCAGCACGTTGGATCTGGAACATGCTCCTGTCTTTTCGTTGTTTTTTTTGTTTTTTTTTTTGCGGGGGGAATGGCAGGGCATCTAAAATCAGCCGTCCGGGGCCATGCTCGCCAGGCGAGCCAGACAGCAAGCGATTGCGAAGCGCATGACGCGGTCGAAGAAAGGAGCGCAGCCGCCCCCGGCTCAGTCACTCGCCTGCTGGGCTCGGCCGGCTTTGATGCTTCATCCTGCTCGGACTTTGCCCGGGATTTCCTAGGATGATTTGTTTTACTGTGGATGGACTGAATCCTGCCCTTGTTGGGGTAGTTTGTCCAGTATTCATAATAGGCTCTCAGCTGGTACAGGAATTTGTCAAGCACAGCAGGGCCCGACGAGAATGTTCCAGAATCCATGAGCTTGGCCATGCTCCCGGCGCATCGCTCTGGTAGTTGGCTCACTTGAATCCAGCCACAAGACCCCCACCCGATCTTGTGATAATTGTATTGAGCATAGGTGTCCTTTTTGGTTGTTTTGGTAGAAAAACCATCTATTTCACCTAAAAGACACCTGTGGTATTGAGGCTACCCTTTTTCAGTGTTGTTTTAGTGGGGAACCCCAAAGGACGGCGTCTCGCCAGGCGCTGAGCCGCCGGGCCAAGCAGCTGGAGCGCGCAGCTTCCGCAACTCCGCCCAGAGGTGTGCGGCTGAAGCGTGCCGCGGCGAAATCCGAAGCCGGCCTCCGGTGGAGACGCGAGATCGAAGCCATGCCTCTGGTGGCAAACGGCTTATTATGCAGTTTAGCCTTTTGTCCCATGGGGGGGGGGGGGGGTTAGTGCAGTTTATGCGGTTGACCCTTTGGTTGGAGGGGGGTTGCCTTCAAAGTCAAGGGACCAGCTGAGGTTTGTTCCATTATGTTTGGCAGGGCGTTCCCTTGGCCACTGGAGGCCTGAGAGAGATCTCTGCCCCGCTTGTTCGAGGGGCCTCGTTTCGGATCGCAGCCAGGTGATGGGCTTTCAACTTGGGACTGTCAACAAAAAAATGAAGGCATTTTTCAGCACGCCAACGCCAAAAAAACGAAGGCCATTTCAGAGCACGCCGACGCGCCATTGAGCTTTTCGGGAGGTTCCAAGCACTGGCCAGGTTTTTCCCTTTCGGCTTCCTTTTGACACCATCCAAAAGGAGAGGGTGGCCTGTTGGTTCCTTATTTTGCCATGTGTCGGAGTAGGCGACCCCCCCCCCCCGAGAAGGGTACTCGGCACCCTTCACAGGACACCAAGGCAGGATGGCCTGGGAGACCCCGCGATTCGAGTCGCAAGGCGCCAAAGAGGAGCGCCTTACTTCCCTGGCAAAGGCTCGGCAGGCGCTTGCTGGGGGGTGGGGGTGAATGGGGTTGGTCCTCCTCCTTGATTGGTTGTTTGTGGACGGACCATGGGTTTATTTTGTGTGTGTGTGTCTTTTAAAGAACTGGACGGACACCTTTTTTCAACCCAGAATTCCAACGGCGGTGGTTTCAAGCTCCTACCTCCGAACCTCCGAACTCCAAGCTTTACCCGGTCACCCCAAAACGAGCTGTGGCCATGCTCAAATCGGAGTTGAACTCCTGATGCAGGCCGGTTTCCTTCTGGCATCCCTGCGACGAACCCAACACAAACCCGGACATCCCCAAACAGTTTGGCATACCGACAAGCGACCATATCAGTGTTCCACCTCACCGACTGGAAGCGTTTTCCCATGATCCCCAAGCGGAATTTCCGATGGCAACAGCCGTGGATGGGCCAACTCTCGGTTTATCCCCGGCATCCCCAGCAGTTCATTCGAAAACGCAGGAGGTGCGGCGCCTGCGCCTGGCGCTGCACGAGGCGGGGGTTTCGTTTTCGTTCTTTTTGGAGTCTCATCCCGAGATTTTTGACCACCGGATGGACGAAACCCGGTTGAAACCAACTTGAAACCAAGTGACACCAGAAGGCTTTTTTGTGTTTACGTTGGGAAATCCCCAAACATTCCGTTGGGTTTCTGAACGGTGGTGCAGGATTGAGTCCATCCACAGTAGGGGAGGGCCCTTGCTTCGGCTAGCTAGAAGACCATAGAGATATTTGGCATCGCGCGCCGGCAGTGTGGCCAGTGCTGTGTTCAGGACATGCTGAACCGGCATTGCGGAGGGGCGCCGATTTTCTGCTCGATCCATCGCGCTGGACACTTTGCCAAACACGTGCTTTTGCCATTGGATCCTTATGAGCGCTGCGCCAAGCGGGTGTTTTTCGAGTTTCCAAATGGTAAAGGGATCATTGCGCCAAGTGAGTGTTTTCTATTTCCCTCCCAAGGGGTGGGGAACCAGCTCACTGAGTGTTGCTTTCCATGGGGACATCCGTTTCCGCGGGCCATCCCGCCCTTACCCGCAGGCTCGCAGCGCGGCGCCGGGCGAGCACGAGCTCTGCCGGGACCTGCGGGCGGGCTGGCAGCGCGAGAGCCGCTGGGCCGAGGGGGGGCTCCGTGCCTGGCAGCGGGGCTGGAAATGTGGTTGGACACTGCTTACTTTCTTTTCCATGCCGAAACTTTTGCCAGCTTGGTTGGTTGTTTGGGCTTTTCAAAACGCTTCAAGACCGCAATTTGGGGATGTTTCTTGTAAGTGAACCGTGGGATTGGGCAGTGCTGGTTGTGGACTTTTTGTCTGTCGTCAGGGACCAGCTGGTCGTTGTTTTGTTGTGCCTAGTTCGGGTTGGGGCTGCGCGTCTTAAATCGGCCTTCGGTGGTTGTAGGCGCTTGGTTTGCTTTCTGAGTTTCTGCGATCCAGACAGATCTTGGTTCCCTGGGTATGAACATCGATGGCGCTGTTTCTGTTTGGTAATTCATCACCCAACAGCATCCATTTTTGCAGAACCACCAGAAGCCCTGACTTTGGGCAGACGGGTTTTCGTGGCATGGCTGCTTGGCGTGTACCCCGATTTTCCACCTCTGCGGTGTGATGGATGAGATGGGTCGAAATCCGGGACCGGTTTTGGATGTTTCTTCTCAGCTCATGCAAAATGAGCTCACTCCTCAATTCAGGTTGTGTGAAGCTACATGAAAAGTCACCCGATAAATAGGTCCAGGTGTCTCCAGTCTTGCCACGAAAAGTGTCTTTGGGCTGGGGCGGTTTGTGTGTGTGTGTGTCTCTGTGTGGGCGCACGACAAAAAACCCGAGGAGATCAGTGGGCAGAGGCGTGTGAGGAATTGCGCAGCTAGGCTGCAGCCAGCTTCAGGCGCCAACTTGCTGGCTTCTTGGTTCCAAAAATGGGGGGCCCTTCTCTTGGAATTGTGCGTAAAGAGGCATCAAAACAGCCCCAGAAGGGGCTTCTGAATGTTTGAGCCCTTGTTGGCTTTCCAGTCAGCCCTAGCTTCAAACAGCCACGATGGCTGCGAAAGAAACGGCTGGATTGCCAGGCCCCTCGATTTCCCGGTGGCTGAGATCTGCCCAGGCCGGCGGACGGCGTCTGCCCAGGACGCAGCACGGGCCGCGCGGCACGCAGAGGCCTGGCGAGGGGAAAAGGTGGCCTTGCAGTTTGGACTTCATGTGTGAAGTGCTCAGAGCTTGATGAAATTTGGGGGGTTTAACAGCACCAAGCAACGGATAGGTGCTTGCCATTCGGTACACCGCAACCAGCTTTGACCCACAGCCACGTGGGTCATGGGGTTGTGATTCTTTTTTAGGGACACCTTTTTAAGGGTTTCCCTTTTTAAACCAACCTGAGTCAGTAGGGCTCCTTAAAAGATACACTTTGCAACCATTTGAAACATGTTGCTTTTTCCAGCAAAATAAAGGGAAGCCACCATTTACAAGGCGGTGTTCAGGTGTTTCTCATGCATCCGGATCCCTGCTGAGATTCACGAAACACCAAACCCATCACCGAGGCGTCCCAAAGCGCGCGGCCCGTGCGGTCCCAAAGCGTGGCACAGGCGGAGGCGCAGGCGGAGGCCACGGCGGCCAAGGCCGAGGCCGAAGCCCAGGCGGCCGGGGGAGTCAGCTGGGTCAAACTCAGCGGGTCAAAGCAGCTGGGTATGGGGAGTCAGCTGGGTATGGGTAGAGGGGACCGCATGTTTTAGCCTTTGGCTCCATTATTCTGTTGGTTTCGCATGGTTTCCCATCAGAAGCCGTACCAATTCAAGAGGCACCCTCACCAAAAAAGACACGCTCGTGTGGGTATGGGTCAAAATAAAACCAAGCAGGAACAGGAAATGGACCGCCGGCCCGCGGGTTTCAGTCTTTGGGTACGCATCTTTAGCCCTCAGCCAGCTTTGGCCCACGGCCAAGGGACTGGCTCCGAGGCGTCCATTGGCTTCCCCTGTTGGGTTTAAAGGGAATCTAGGACTGCTGGAAATATGTGTATCTTTTCCAGGGGGCCTAAGCAAATGAAAGAAGGTGAGCGACCTCCCAGGGCAAGGGAATTGAGGGCTGGCACAGGGTCCTGTTGACCAAGTTGACTGGAATGAACGCCTGTGAACAAAAGGATTTGAGGCGCAATTTTCCGGAGGGCGCGCGGCACTTCACTGAAAGGGACTGTTTCCGAGGAAGCTAACTGTGAAGCGGGGTATCCAGTTTGGGCAATTGGACGTACAAGGGCAAAGGCTCGGCCAAAACCCGCCCGGAGCCGCACGAGGCCAAGCCAAACACCTCCCTGGAATGGCAACGGCAAGGGGCAAAGAGTTGGAGAACCGCACGCTACTTCAGTCTCGCTCGGGAGATGTCCTTCTTCACATTATTCAGAAGCCAGCGCGCCTTCCGCACGAACATCAGCCTTGGAATGGCAGGCGGCTGAGCCAAGAACCCTCAGCAGCTTTGCTGAGTAGCAGATTCGAGTCAAAGTTTCCAACCCACAGTGGTTCGTATTGCCCCTCAGTTTAAAGCAGTGTGGGTGTGTTCGTTTTTCCAGAGTTTTTGGTGGCTGAGTGTGGCTGACACACAGAGAACTGAAAGGGAAGCTGCTTCTTTTGGGTTTCTTTGTTTTCGTTGTTCGCCATCATTTTCCATAGTGGGGGCATGGTCCAAGGACAGAAGCCAACCTCTCGAAGATGCCATGAAACGAAGTGCAAAGGGCTGCTTTTGGGACGGTTCGCAGCACTCGGATTTCAGAGCAAGAAATCGATCATGGATTGTATGGCCATGACCTACCTTGAAAGGGCTGCTTGTATACTTCCATCTCTACTCCCCTTTCATTCTTTACATATTGGGTAGACTCCCGTGGCACCAAGTTGATTGTGACATTGGGGATTGCATTTCCTTGCGGGCACCCTTTTAAAATCGTTTCCCCAAAGCTATGGGGTCTTTGCCGATCTGTTGTGGTCCGGGGTAGGGTTGGGAGGAGGGGTTCCAAGGATGCACGACAGCGCAACTGTGTCATGCTGTTGGGGATATGGTCCACCAAGCAAACAATTACTGCTGAAATCCATGTTGCGGGGTCCCCCCCCAAAAAAACGATTTCGACGAGCATTTGGAGCACGCCCCTTACCAGGGCTCGGCCGGAGCAAGTTTTTTTGTTTCCCCTCGCCAGGTGCAGCTCGACCCGGAGCTTCGCCGGCTCAAGTCGCAGCTGGAGGGCCTCTGCTCGCAAGCGGCCGGGGCCCAGAAAGGTGCCCAGATCTGTTTTGCTGTTTCCTCCTGCCTGAACCCATGTCAGGCTGGCACTTGGGTCATTGATGTTCGCTTGTGTTGTTTAAGTATGTCTTAAACATATTTCTCAACCTCCCCAACCCCAACCGTGTCCTGCCGGAGTCCTGCAAACGTTATGTTTGGATGGGTGGCGGGGGATGGATGCAAGTGTGAGTTTTTTGGCTGTGTGGCCTGGGCTAGGAGAGGCCACAAGAGGGAGAGCTTGCTGTTCAGTTGTCGCAGGTGTTGGGACGGTGCCCCATAGGGATATGGTTTGTTCGAGTGGATGGACCGTGACACGTTGAAACTGTCCTTTTCTGCAAGACTCTCGGCTGCTAGAATCTGGGAAGGGAAGGATATTTTTTGCAGAGATGCTGAGCCAGAGGGCTTTTGTTTAGCAGTCGGCGAGCCAATAATATGTTAAGGTGGCGTCTTCTAATAACCAGCACACAAGACATTGCAGCATTGTGCAGCAACTCTCCTTGCGCAAGGTTTTGCACGCAGTGTCTTTCCTATCTGCCACCTACCGGTATCCCTCGAGAGTTCTCAAGGCGACCACCTCAGATTTTCTCAGAGGTGTTCCCATTTCTACCATTGGCCAGCCAAGCATTTGGAGGGACCCGTCCGATTTTGTTTGCACACCCTCCCCGTCGGATCGGCCTTGACATGGTTGTAATGTAACGGTTGGAAAGCCAGGTGTCGGGTTCAATGTTGTGCATGTCTTGATGGCTATTTGGTTTCATCTTTGGACTTTAACTTGTTGGTTGAAAGAGGCCGGATTTGCCGAACACATTCGTTGCAGCAACCAAGAGGTTTCCGCGGTTTTTGGCCAGCCGCCTGCTAGGCCAAAGCAAAGGGAGACCTCGAGGCGCATGTGCTGGAGGCGTTGGAAGTGGGAGAGGGTATGTTCTTGGAATGGTTCTGATATGTCCCTTCTAGGTGGTCTTCATCACCTTTTGCGCCAATGTTGATTTTGTGGGCTGATGGTTGAACATGTTTTAGGGACTGTGCATATTTCTTGAACATGCCACATGCATGCACTGGCTCAAGCTCAAGCTGAACTGGCTCCGAGGGTCTTCGGTTCATATTATGTCAACCGTCCTTCAATGGCTCGGCCAGCTTCCTTGGGCATTCGGGCACTGAATTGCAATTCGGATACGGAGGCGGCGGGCCATGCTGGCGGACATGGGAGCCCACGCCGGGTGTAGCCAGTTGCACAGCGCCTGACATACGAAGTGAGATGCCCCGAGCAGTCTCAGCAGCCTCACAACGAAGTTGAGGTCCTGGATCAACTGGGCAGGCCACTCGCGTGGCGTTTGGAGGTAAAAGCGGTGGGGACTCTTGGAGCACGCAGGACGGCCGCTGGAATGGGGTTCATCGCTGTGGCATGCAGGAAGTCCGCGCGCGTTTGTTCTTTTTGTCATAGGAAAGCAAAAACATCGCCTCCAGCAGCTCATCCGTCCGCCTTCGTGCATCAGATGAGTGTGAACAAGCCGAGGACAACGAGGGCCTCCGTAAACGGTTTTTTCCTTGCGCACCCTTGTGCGAAACTGTGAACTTCCTTTGCCCGCAAAGGCAAGCAACACTGCGTGCCTGCGACGTGGGCCCCGCCGCACCCGCCGGCGCTTCGCCGCCGGAGCGGTTCACTTGCCGCGCCGCGAGGAGCTGTGAGCTCCTGGCCTTTGCGGAGGTGTTATCCCTTGGTTTCCCGAAGTGCGGGCATTGTTGTTCCTGGGTTCAAGGCGCAAGAGAACCCGGAACTTTTAGTAACATTCCTGTATCTTGAATCTTGCCCTCGATTTGTCCTCAGTGTGTTTTGATTCAAAGATTCGTCAGGAAAAGGACTCAAAGGGGACTCAACCGTCTTTGGCTTTTCACGTATCAACTCTTTCCAGCATGTGTCGGTCGCCAGGGCACTCCCGATGCCGAGGGCGAGTCACAGTCAGAGGAGGCGCTTGGCCCAAAGGGGGAGAAGGCCCACTCCACCCTAAGGTTCCCTGGAATGATTCCCTGGTAAATAGCCACAAACAATGGTTTCCCATGGTTTCAAAGTGGTGCAGGGTTTCGTTCATCCACCGTAGGGCGTGGCAAAGTAGGCTTTACGGGGGCCCACTTTGTGCGACACCGGCTCGAGGAATCCCGTGTTTTGTAGTCCTTGAAAGGCAACACCTTATGCTGAAACACAACATTTGGGTGCGAACATGTCCAAGTTCCACTTCGCCCCCTGTTTCCTCCCCCTGCCTGGACTCGTGGTGGCTCTTTGTGTCCTCCCCAAGGGTTTGCCTTTCTGTCAACCCCCTGGGATCCGAAAAGTGTAGATCCCAGACTGCCCACATTTGGATGGTGTAGATCCCTGTTGGATGCCATGGGGCCATGGGACTGCGCCATGTCGGGGAGCGCATTTTGCTGGTTCTCTTTGGTGCATTTTGCCGAGGGAAGACAGGGCTTTAACGTTTTTTTGTTCCAGCTCATTGTTTTTTTCCTCATGAAACTGCTAAGATTTTTTTCCAGCTCATTGTTTTTTTTTCATGAAACTGCTAAGAAAATACAATTTTTTCCAGCTCATTGGGTTTTTTTTCCATCAAACTGCTAGAAGTTTAAAACTTTTTGCAGGGGAGCCGAAAGCCACCGAGTTATGGATCATGACTTTGCCGGGGCATCGCAACTGAGCAACAAGCTGCCCGCGAAGCCATCGAACAAGCTGCGCATCCCGACCGCCGAACCTTTGAGTAGGAAGCTTGGGAAAGAGCCGATCGGATTCTTGGAAGAAACCAGCCATTTGAGTGGTTCCCAGCCATCCCCTTATACTTGAATTTTTTGGTTTAGTGGGGAAATCCATGTCACCTAACAACATATTTCTTTTTTGCGGGGGATCTAGCAAGGGGAATCTGTCACCTCTTTCCACGTCATGGTTTGGCAACAGCTACACGCGGCAAACTACAAATGGGGTGCACAACAGGTAGGATCCCCTTCATCATCCTCTTTGACAGTTGGCTCCAAAAATTGACCAGCCCTTTCAGGCGCCAGCGCCTGCCTTTGTGCCCTCCTACCTTCTCATATGCTTAAAAAACCAAAATGCACGCACACCCTGAACAAAGCCTGTGCCTAACAAACACGTGTTTGTTAGGGTTGCTTCGAGCCTTGAAGGCTTGACTGCGGGTGGACACTTGCAGGTGGCACTGGTGCACTCTGCAATCCTCAAGAGTTGCGGGTTGCACTGGTGCACTCTGCAATCCTTGCGGGTTGCGGGTAGCACTGGTGCCGACTGGTGCACTTTGAAAAATGCTTTTGGGTTGTTTTTGCATAGGTGTCCTTTTTGGTTGTTTTGCTGGACAAATAGATGGCCCTGGTTTACCTGGTGGTGTAATCATCTATCAGGGTCATCTATTTGCCCTAAAAGGACTATGCTTGCTCGGCTTTCCCTTGGTCTCCCCCCAGTCCTGAAGCCCCTTTTTGCCCGCCACCTGGCAGGTGGCGGCCTACGAGGCGCTGGTCTCGCGGCTGCGCTCGGAGCTGCGGTGGGAGAAGAGCCAGCGCATGGCTTGCGACCAGGCGGGGGTTCTCCCATTTATAGGGCGTCATCTATATGTCAGACGTGCAGTTTGCTTGGATGTTAGGACTTTAACTAACTTTTGCCAACTAACGGGTTTTCCATTCAACCACTAAAAGTTAAACTTTTAGCAGGGGAGCAGAACGCAATCGAGAAGTGTTTAAGGCTTGCAGGTTCATCCCATTTGTTTCATCTATCCCAAGGGCGAAGCGGATGTTGTGCAGCTTTTCACTGGTTGAGGGCCAAGATTTTCCACTGCCGATGGGGTCCAGGGTTCCTTTTGGGTGCCCAGGGTAGGACAGGTGAGCGGCTAGTAAACATGGCGATACCCCTCGGAAAGGGGACTAGACCATGGGCTTAGTTGAGCAGACCAGGAAAACTTCCCATTATGGCGGGAGGGGGGGCGGGGGTGATTGAACAACCACATGCTCAATATTCGTTGTTGCCTTTGGAAGAGCCTTTGTCATGGCTTGTCGTTCTTCGATCTCTGAAACATCGATTTCAAAACGCCGTTGAGGTTGTTGGGCAAATGGTGGCCCTTGGCATCCTTGGTCTTTGGCGGATCCAAAAAAAAGGGGCTTAGATCTTTCACAACCCACTGTTTTTCCATTGCCGGAACTGGAGTTGTGGCAAAAGGACCTAGGAAGCGTATGCCTCCAAAATGCGAGGCTTTGGAGACGCTTCGGGGCTCCTACGGCTTGGGCCCGAGACCGGAAGCGAGGGGTGAAAAACTTCCAAAAGCTCCCTGACAAAGCTGAGCTTCATAGATCTTCAGTGGTTTTGTTGTTCCCTGTGGGCAAAGGGAAGAGTTGCAACCAGCCCTTCCATTCTGGGCAATAAGGCCTATCCAACAAAAAAGAACGCCGCGGTTTTTGTGGCACGCTTCGTTTATGCTGTGCACGTGTCATTTGCTGGTTGTGACTCAGTTGTGTTGTCGCCCAAAGACACTGGACCGGCGTGTGTCGCAAATTGACCTTTTCCAATGACTTGTTCCTCCTTGTTCCTCTCTCAAATCAACACTGTCACTTGCCGTACCCCTAGCGGCTGCAAGGCAACCCATCTCCAAAAAGCACCATATGCAGCCGGCACCCCTCCAGGGGGCATGGTGTCGGGTCTTCGACCGCCCCGAAGTGCTGAGGCCTTCTGCTGAGCAGGGCCGCTGCCCGCTGAAGCGCTCGGGCGAGTCGCTCCGAATCGCTCGCGAAGGTATTTTTGTTCAGCTGGATGCCAAAGAGACTGGGCCTGGTTTTGTCACGGAAAAGTGCTCCTTGAAAGGCACATGACGTTGACAGGCCATCTGGGGGGTGGTTTTCGTTTCTTTCTGGTTTCTCCAGGGCCCGGAGATTGGTAGACGAATGGCAATCCATGCGACCAGCTTTCAGTGAACTTCCCTGGGCATGGAAGGGCAACCTGAATCAGGTGACGTGATGGAAGCTCCTTGTCCCGATTCCTGGCTCTACTTTCGACCCGTGGCTGTGAATGCAAGCGTTGTATACAACTGCACATACATACACCATATTAAATATGTACACATGCACAATGTACAGTACATGATACATGCATATGACGCTTTGGCACGTAGCATGTGTCTAGCGGCAAGTTATCCCAAGCCAGGCACCTTCTGGTGCATCCAGCGACAGGGCTGGCTTCGAGATGTTCGAGGCCCCCCCATGTGTATACCACAAGACATGTGCCATGGTCGAAACACACGTGTCGTCTTGCGATTCACCCCGCCTTTCAATGTTTTCTTAGCTCCCGGTGAAGCGGACCAAGGTAGCATCTCCGTGTTTGGCTTGGGGCTGATGGGCCCTTCAATCGGGGCTCTGGAACCGAAGATCACATGAGAAGTTTTTCAACCTTGGCACATCTGGCCGTGAAGACCGGGACTTCCACACAGGTCCCTGGTTTGGCACATACCCCATGTATCGGCATTGTGGAGCATGCCTGGATCCTGCGATCAAGTGTCGGGCAGGTTCGGGTTTGCGGGGTGAAGGACCTGGCTTTGTTTGTAAGGATCCGAAAAAGCCCCTTGGATCTCTCGAAAACCTCGCTTCGGGAAGGTTGAGATAGGTGGAATGGGCTAGTCGTGGTGGCTGGTCACAGAGTTTGAACTTGGGGCCTCACACAGCCATAGGTTGGAAAGCGGTTGATGTGTGCCAGGGGGCTCCCTGAAATGGTTGTGGATCCTTCAGGGGCTGATGCTGTCCCCGGATCCATGAACCTGGCGGACAAATATGGTGCGTTTCAGTAAGGTGCACCTCTTGGGGACACTCAAGGGGACAACCCCTCTGCCTCAGCCAGGTATTCATGAATCCTGGGTTTCCTTGTAGACAAGTCGTAATTGGGACTCCTCTTGGCGCCATGACCCCCCTGAGCCCATGGACTTTTGACCATGTATGCTATGAGTTCATTGTTTGCCTCGCATGGAGCGGCCGGGCAGCTCCCACAGCGACACTCGAGCATTGTCCTTTTGCCTGTGCAATGGTCTACTGCCTTCGGAAATTCATCCAGACCAATCAGGGTGGTTCCCCTGTCAATGCGGAATTAGCCCATCATAAGGGAATTCCCCAGATTCGGTGTGGTCATCCGAAGTTAGCATCGCATCCAAAAGGACCATGTGGCTGGGCAACCACACGAGCAGGCTGATGCGATTTCAAGGCTGGTGCGAGGCTTCAATTTGCCGAGGCGCGAGAAATAGAAGATGGATCATGTCTTCCCTTCCAGGGTGGGCGGTCCTTCTCAGACGAATTCAGACCTCATTGGGAAGTGGTATTAGACGTAGAGCTTGTCCCAACACAGGTGGCAGAACGAGCACCCTGTTCCCAGAAACCCACACCGACAGAAGCCCACTTGTCTGTGCATGTTTGCTTTTGAGTGGGGTTGCCACGATACTAAGCCTTGTGCTCGCCTAGTGAAGCTGCACGCCTGTCTGTGTACCATACACGAGCCTCCGGCTTCAGCCAATGAACCTACTGCGCTTGAGAGAAAGTGGACGCTCGATCCTAACGGTCTCGCCGCTCTCGCTCGATGCAGACTGACCAAAGGACCTCTGGATCGCATGGGAAGACCTCGCATAAGACCAACTACCTGGGTTGCAAACGAATGGGCCAGCTTGGTTCAGCCTCGGGCCATGGTGGCTTTCGGCTTGCAACTTGCAACAGGTTCCAACTGCGCAATACAGAGATGTACGTTGTAGCCCGGAAACGACTCGTCTTGCTATTGCCATGCCAAATGCTGGAAAAGAGAGAGATGCCTTTTCTGAAAGGTTCGTTGTGAACCATGTTGAAGATGGTGGGAGCATGTCTATGCTTGTCGTGGCTGGGTTTCTTGAAGATACGGAGGAGGGTTTCCCAAAATAGACCACCCTTGCAGTTGGTCGGTAACCTTTTCATTGACTTTAAAGCACCATCCCAAAAAGGTCCCACCGAATTTTGGTCGGTCCCGAGTCCCAATCTTTGGCACAACGGTTCATACGTCGTGTTTTGCTTTTGGTTCCACGCAAACACGATGGGCGTCAGGTTGGCATTTGTGTTGGAACAGGAGGGCCCAACTGAATTCCCTGCCTTCGAAGTGCTGAACCCAGCTTGCCTGGGGTTGGGAAAAATGGTTCGCTCTGAACTCGCAGCTCCATTCCTCTCAGTTTCCTTTTCCTGCCTCGCTCCCTTCTGGGGCGGAGGCACGGAGGCACGGAGTCGCGAGTCGCGCGTCGCGAGCCGCGAGCCGCGTGTCGCGAGTAGAGTGGGAGCGGGTAGCGGAGTCGCCCTGGGTGAGAGCCGGGGGGAAGGAAAGCTGGTGGCTTGGGGGCAATGGTTTCGGTGGGAGCCTTGCCAAGATTTCGTGAAAGCGACTCCTTCAGGAGAAATTCGGGCGGTTGGAACTGAGAGGCTGTCGAGTCTCATTTCGCAGGGGCCTTTGCACACCAGATCTTTGAGCATGGGGACAACACTGCTGCATTATATTGCCCATTCCGCAAAGAGGGGGACTACAGAGAAAATCGAGCCATTTGCAGATCAGCTTGTCCGTTGCTCGCTGCAAGGCAGACCCGTTTGCCTCGCGAGGGCGTTCGAACTGCTGTAGGGCTCATGTGTCGATCCTTATGCCACGGGTCCTTCAGTGCTACATTCAGCAGGCTTTGAAGGAGACGTCCCAACGGAGATTTCTTGGGTTCCTTTCAAAGGCTCCTTCCCCGACCCCTTTGGGCTCCTCACATCTTGCTGAGCTCTGGGGCTCTTCAGCACCCTCCGTCGAGGGAGGCCGTCGACGGAGCCGCTGTCAGGCCATGCCTCCCTGTCTAGATGACTTCATCCTCATGAAGGCGGGCGGGTCGGCTGATCGTCTGGTGCTCCCGCATCCCCCCCCCCCCCCCCAGGGAAGGGGCACGTGGACGTGTCGGAGCTTTACAGGCCACGAGATTTACAGGCACAGTGAACCTCAGGGGTACTTTTTCCTTCTCCGCCCGTTTTTTTTTTTTTTTTTTTTTTTTACGGGTAGAGTAAGAGGGCCTCGAACTACCTTCCAACGTGGACCTCAAACTGATCGGTGCCCTTTGGGGAACCAGCAACTTGGATGACGTGTCAAGGGAATCCCAGGGGCCCGAATCCTTCCAGGGAAGAACCACCGCCGGCACCGCCTCCGTGTCTCTACCTGCTTGGATCCAGTGTGAGGGCCGAGAAGGGGCCAGGGAAGGCCCGGCGGACCCGTGGGCGAGAATCTTGGCGCGCAGGTCATCGGGAAGGGGTCGTACGGAAAGGCGGGCGCGGGTGCGGGCGAAGGTTTGGCCTTGATGTTTTGTCGTTTGTTCTCCTGTTCGAACCGTTTTTTTTTTTTTTTTGTTTTTTTGTATCTTGGTGTTCTGCTGGTTTTGGTTCGGACCTGGGCAACTTCCACGACGAATTGCGGCGATGCAGCATGCAATTCACCGAGAACTGCCCGGAATGGGGAGAAGGCTGAAGACCCATGTGAGCCACAATCAAAACCCGGGTAGAAGAAGGTTAGTAAGGGGCAGTCCCAGCCGGAAATAGTTGCGGCCGCCTTTCTAATTCTTTACATTCTGGGCTCACGATTGTTGTACCAGGTTTTGGTTGTGACTCATGTGAAGCTGAAGTTTTTTTTGCTTTTCTTTGTGCGTGCGGTTCATTGGGGCTGGACCTGCAGGGGTTGGTTGGGGGGCATTCCCGACGCTGGAGTCATACTGTGGATGTGTCACACATCAATGGCGGCCCTTTGGGGACTTTAGGGTTGTGGGTTGTCCCCCGACGGTCAACGGGGTCCAAACAATCACCATTTGTGCCAATCCCCACTGCCCCTCGCGCCTTGTATTGACGAAGGATTATTGCGGGCAGAAAGAAGCTCGGAGTTTGGCGGTTCCCACTTTTCATGCACCATTTCACTAGATGTCTAGCTGCTCGTGCTTAGTACTTGGAAAGCACTGGGAAGGGGTCAAAGAGTCGAGGGGTTTTGATCTCTTTCTGCTTACTCCCATAAAACACCATGCGTCTGCTTGCCCAAGCGGAGAGGTGATGCTTGTGCGGCACAAGACCGAGGGAGAGGACCAAGTCTATGCCATGAAGATGCTCCGCAAGGAGCAACATTCGGGTGTTTGAAGGTGGGCAGGACTTCTTTAACCATCAAAGGATGGTGGCTGACTCAAGTGCTCGAGTCAATCAGTCAGGGAAGGAGCGAGCCAAGTGATTGAGTGCCTGCGTGCGTGCCTGCGTGCGTGTGCGTGTGTGTGTGTGTGCTAAAGCCAGAGCCCTCTCCCAGAGGTTGGCCGCCTGTTTTCCTAGAGAACCACTGCAAGACGGGCCGGCTTTGAAAGAACGCGTGAGGGTGTCCTTGTGCAACGTGAGTTTCAATTGCACGTGCAGATGAATGAAGGTGCGTAAGTATGACTTTACGTTGCCAGGCTTGGCTTACGCTTGTTTGCTTGCGTGTTTGTGAAACGCAGCCTGTTTGTTTGTTTGTTTGTTTGTTTGTTTGCTTGCTTGCTTGTTTGCTTGCTTGCTTGTTTGTTTGTTTGTTTGTTTGCTTGTTTGTTTGTTTGCTGGTTGGTTGGTTGGTTGGTTGGTTGGTTGGTTGGTTGGTTGGTTGGTTGGTTGGTTGGTTGGTTGGTTGGTTGGTTGGTTGGTTGGTTGGTTGGTTGGTTGGTTGGTTGGTTGGTTGGTTGGTTGGTTGGTTGGTTGGTTGGTTGGTTGGTTGGTTGGTTGGTTGGTTGGTTGGTTGTGTGCTTGCCTTTCGGGGTTTCTTCTTTTTCCCTTTCAACCAAGTGTGATCCAGATGAGGCAAACGAGAATTCGGCATGTGTCCGGACTCGGGACCCCTCGGTAATCCACGCCTGAGACTTGGGAGCCGTCAGGAGAACGTCATAAAGCGAAATCAAGTGGAGCACACAAAGACGGAAAGAAATGTGCTGGAGGCGTGTGAGTTGATCGACCGCCGGATCGAGCCGACCTGTGCTTGAATCGACCTCAAAGTGGGATGTGAGCTGTCCAAAGAGCGCACGAAGCATCCAAGGGCATGCTCGATCTGCCTCTTGCGGGAATTGCTGGTAGTAGGACTTGGGTCACTATCTGTTTGAAAAGGGGGAACCGAAGTCGATGGAAATCACGGCATTCACTTGAAGCGACTGACGACGGCCAGTTTCTGCTTCAGCCCATGGATTCCTTTGGCACCTTGACATGTGCCAGGCGGTCTCCCATCCGTTCATTGTGACGCTCCACTACGCCTTCCAGACTCCTAAGAAGCGCTTTCCTGAGTTGGGCTTTGCCCCCTTCGATCAGCAAGGCTACGGAGGGTTTGGGCTTCTTTTGCATTTGGTTTAGGCATGGCATGCCTCCAGGCTGGGGCCTCTCTTTGGATCCTTCTTGGGAAATGGGATCCTCTCTCTGGACAAGGTAAAAGCAGACTTCCCCCCCCGGCCTCCCCCCCCCATTGGCGAGCATTTAGTGCAGTCTTGCGTTTCCACGCATCCCGCAAGCTTCTCGGATCACAGGTCCCCCCTACCCCCCCAGAGCGACTTAGCACAACCCCTTGACTCATCCCGGAAGATGGGGAGGTTTTTGGCTTCGCCCTCGTCTGAATCTAATCCCACTTGCTCGAGGCTGTACTTTGTTCTGGAGTATTGTCCGGAGCTCGGCGGCCGGGCCGGCGGCCAGGGTTTTGCTTTTGTTTTTTGGGCGGGGGGAGGCAACCAAAGCCCAAGCCCAAGGCAAGCCCATAGGAGATTCCTTTCAGGCTGAGTTGCCAAGTTTCAAAGTTGTTTCGTTGGGTCTAGGTTTGAACTGTCGCACAACGGCCAGCCAACTCGAAACTCCTCTGAGGTGTCAAAATACCCGCACATTTGTGCCCTTCTGTTTGATTTCCCTTGAAGCCTGCCCACAAAGGGTATGCTCAACTCGAACCCCTATCATGTCCTTTTAGAGGGCCTTGCTTCACCTTCAGCGGAAGCCAGCCTTGGGCAAGCATCGCCAAGGTAGCTGTTGCTGTGTAAGAATTCGTGTTGTTTACCTGTGTTTCTTGCTCGCTTGCTTTGCATTGCCTTGCTTGGTTTGCTTCATTACTTTTGCTTTGCTTTTGCTTTGCTTTGCTTTGCTTCGCATTGCGATATATATATATATATGTATATATATATAATATAATTTTCTTTACGAGCCTTTGAGAGACTTGGGGTGACTGGGTGAATGGTTCTGCCGGCTGTTTCTTGAAGCCTTGAGGCCCGGGTGGGGAGCTCTTCTTCCACCTCAGCAGAGCCGGGCGATTCTCCGAAGGCCGCTGCAGGTGCGGCAGCCCCTCGGGTCGGGTCAGGGGGGGAGGGGAGGCTTGGGGGGGGGGTGGGGGTTGGGGACCGATTTGTGGATTTTTTGGACCACATTTTTTTGCAGTCCTTTGGAGTCAAAAAACGAGTTTCCGCGCGAGCTTGGTGTGAAAGTCCCTTCGCTTTCCAGCCGCGTCGGAAGTTCAAAGCCTCGGTCGGCTTTTGCGAGGGTCAAAATTGGTTGGATCCTTGTGGGTCCTTGGTGTTATTACATATCCATTTGGAGGATCCAGCGGTGGGGGGCCGCAGGTCATTTTGTCACTCGCCGATTCGACTGTACCTGGCTCAAAGGGAAAGGTCCCTTGTAGATTTTGGACGGGGCTGCCCCTCATGATGTTCTTCACTACCCATTTTCGCCAGTGCCTCCTTTGAGAAATAGTGGGGGAGCAACACACATTGCTGGCACTACACCGCAACCTGTTGAAGCTGACTGAAGGGTTCCCCGCGGGCCAAGTCAAAAAATCTGGCCCAAAGGCAAAACAAATCAACGGCGGACCGCTCACCTCTCCGCCAGAAGGCTTCCTTTGGATTTGGGGACGGCGCGCACGCTCGCCGACCTTTTTTCGGCCATGCCGGTGGCATGCGTGATGAACGTGCTGCGCTGGCTGGTGAGAAGGTGCCGGCGCCGCTTGCTCAAGGCAGGGGGAGGGTGACGCTGGTGCTTGCCGTGCCTGCCGTGCCAAGTGATGAAACGGAACTGGGCGTGTTAGGACTAGACATGGGTTTTTTGGGCCATGGCTATGGTACAGCTGGTGGCAGCTTTTGAACAGGTCGACCGACTTTGCCAGCGCGGAGTTAAACGCATGGGCCAAGCCCTCGAAATGTCTTGGTTTCCTTTGGTTGCTTTTGAACCAGCCCCGAAAGCGGCACCAACAAAGAAGAGACACCCAAAGGCAGCATTGGACAGTTGCACCATGCTCGTTTCTAGCCTGCCAGGGTAATATGTCCGTCTTCAAGGCGGGGCGGATCAATCGAGGTTGTTTGCATTGAGCAAGAATGGGTTAGCTCACCAGGCCTGAGTTCCTGTCAAAGAGAAGCCAACAGAGCTCACTATGTGTGTGTGTGTGTGTGTACGGCGCCCCCCAACTTTGATGGCCCGGCCGGGTCTTATACTGTCCGAGTAGCATCGCGCTACTCTATACCATCGCCTTGTGATATATATATATATATATATTTATTTATTTATTTATGTGTATGTGTGTATGAGTTAGTAACAGTTAGACTAGGCCTTGCCCATCCGCATATTGCCATCCAGTCATAGGCTCCCCCCACACTTTTTGGCATATTCTGAATACGCCCACCAAAACTATGTTCACCCAATTATCACTCCCCAAAAAGTGGTTAACGAATGGAAAAAGGAAATCCTAAGGGCTAACTCAAATCATGAAAATAATCCCAGTGAATATGGATGGCAAAATGTGGACGGGACAGGGCTTCATTAGATACGTGGCTCATGTGTTGACGGCTACAAGTGCAACAGACCCAGGCAGCAGTTCCAACTGACAAGGGCGACCGCTCCAACTGACGCAGCAGCAATCGCAACAGCCCCAGAAATCCGTTGCAACAGCCCCAGAAATCCGTTGCAACAGCCCCAGAATTCCGGCCAACAACCCCAGAAATCCGTTGCAACTGCCCTAGACTTCTGGAGCAACAGGCCTCAAAGGCCGTAGCAACTGTCCTACTATTCCACAGCAATTGCCCACACATTCCTTGTAAGGTAAAGTAGTTTCACCACTGTTTCGATAGTTTGAGAACTCCCATTGAACAAGGTTGCCTTGTCACTTCACACTGCATCACGCGGATCCAATATGCCGCTCACGATCAGCAACATGCTTTCCCTCCGCATATTCACCTATCGAGATTCGTTTGATGCATTTGTTTCTTCAGCTCGATGTCACATGTGAGCAACATCATTGTGTTTGTGCATTGAATTTTGGACGTGGCAAGCCTGCAGCATCATGTTGCCATGAAGCACAACCGTGCACAGAAGCAGCGGCTGCGCGGGCTTTCAGCTGTGTTTTTGTTGTTGCTCCTTGCATGCTGGACTCCAGCTAGGATTTGTGAGCCATGCCATTCCACATTGTCGTGATGCCGTCCAGCTGGCTGCAGGTGACACAAGATGGTGGTGTGAACCGGGTGGTGTCAATCGCCCGCTAAATTTTCGAAGAGAGCATGCGAACAGATGCTGCGCCCCTCCCTGTCAAAGGACTACGCAGCGTATGAGACCACCTTGCCAGCGCGCGAACTTCGACGGGGCAAGCCTCTTGCATTGTATCAGCTGCCTTTTTACGTCGCAGCTGTTGATATGAACGCTTTTGCCAAGCAGATGAGCTGTGAGTTGGCGCAGCGCTCGACGTGTGGAACCCACCAGATGCTATTCCAAGCTTCAAGGCGGTAGAGAAGTTCTGCAAGAGGATGTCTCCACCGTCATGCAACGCAGTCCGCATGGTATGCTTTTGGTGCATGTGGATGAGCGCTTATGATACAATGGAGTTAATTAAGTTAGAAACTCAATATATCAAAAAATCACATGTAAATGTTAATATAGATGCCAAAACAGACCAATGCCAGAAATTGAAGCACGGAAAGAAACAGAAAGTGTGAATTCAATGGGTGAAAGTAAAGCTGTTTTGGATTTCAATATTGAAAAAAACAGGTGGTGATAGGGTTATAGAAACCAACGAACATTTAAGTAGTGTTACTCTTAACAGGGACGTAAGTTAGTGTTTAAAGAGTAGCTTTAAAACATAATTTAAAAATTTAGTCTTAAAAGTTCTTTTTTGTAATATAGTATTTATGGAAAGTGTAGATAAACTGATTTTGAGAATTGATGAGAGAATGGAACAGAACAAGCAAATATATTCAGTTTTAGAAAGCATGACAAAGAAACCGACATATACTAGTAACAACTATCAACCGAAAGAAGTAGATAGAGATAGTCAGGAATATAAGAACAAGAGAGGTATATATCTGAAGAAATTAAACCAAAGAGAAATCCGAAGCAATCAACAATGGATGATTACAAAGTTGGTTTTGATGAAGACGCAGGGGTTTATTCTTGAAGGGGGTTAAAGGGTAGATACCCTATTGACCAATGACCGACTCAGTAGAATCTAAATGCGCAAAATGCAACATAACCAAGAAGGTAGAAGAGTTCCGATATAAAAAAAGAGATGAAAACTGCACAGAATGTAGAAAGAAAAGAAAGGAGCAAAAAAACATTTCAACAGAAGCCCAGTCCAGCACGACACGAGAAGAAAGTTATTGGTCTAAAGCAATTTCAGCAAGACAGTTCAACTTACACTGTAGACAATTCGTTATATGTTTTTTATGATCAGCCAATATATAAAGAATGATACATTGTACATTGAAATTGCAAAAGCACAATCAGCAAAACAAGAAGAGAGAACAACAAAATCCCGCACTTGAAACGCACACATTGAAACCTTTAATACCTTAATTTACTATAATTGCAACATGTACGACGTCATATGGTGTTACTAGAATGATACAAATATTTCTATGAATTATATTTCCCTGAAAAGCGTTTTAAGAAATATTACCATAACTTACTAGATGATGAGTGACACAGAAAGTGATGTTATGGGTACAGCAGGTGAATGCTATGAGTCTGAAAGGACATGAACCATATTAATCAACAGATATATGAGTTATACGTGTAGAGATTGTTCGTTCTTATAGTCAACAATTAAACAAGGGTTTTCAGCTGGTGTTACACTATGAAGCATGGAATGATAATGACTTTCATTTTTGGCAATGCACGTATATTTTAAGCGAGCTTGAATATACAGTAAAAAGAGCAATTAGAACAATGGGGTGGCTTAAAAAGAAATGGAACTGTTTTTTTAGAATGAGAAAGCAAGACAAGCAACACAATAATAAAGCGGAATAAACGGAATGTGTTTATAATATCTAATTAGATTATGGTTTTGCTATAGTTACAACATATAAGAATGTATAGGTTGCAATTATAGTATACTTTTATTATATAAGCCGTGGTGGTGACTATCTACCTAAGCCTTGTTCATCCGCATATTGCCATCCATATTTCACTGGGATTGTTGACATGATTTGAATAGGGTTGTTTTGGTGGGCGTATTCAGAGTGTGCCAAAAAGTGTGCGGGGACCCTATGACTGGATGGCAATATGTGGATGGGCAAGGCCTAGTCGAACTGTATGTACCCTTCCCCAAAAAACGGACTGGCTGTGATTTCGCTTTGGCAAATCATTTCGCGGGAGTGTGCCAGGCAAACGGGCGAACTCAGTGGGTCAAGAGCCCAGGCAGCAGGAGACAATACGCATGGAGGGGATGACAGTTTCGGGGCCCGAAATTGGCCGGACCAGAAGTAGTGGAGCCATCTGTGGGACGGCGCAACCCAAAAGAAAGCAGAGACTTGGAGCGGTCCCTGGTTTTCACACATTCCTGAGGAACATCAATGGCGAGTTCCCGCTCAGAACAGACGGGGCCTCAGCGATTCCCTTCGCAGGTACCTACTGGATCCACCGTGCTTTCCGAAAAGGGGCACACCACCCCAAAAAACCCGCTGTAGGTGGAGCTGGTACGGCTTGGAGGTGACCTAGTCGGTGGGCGGGAGCTGCCTTATTTGGTAGGTTCCGGGGTTTGGACCAGGAAACTTGCCGGGGGTTAGTACCGACCCCTTCCCCCACCCCCCAAAAAAAACAAGAAAAGGAAAGACAACAGAAGAAACTACCTCAAGAAGAACCTGCTACACCCTCAAGAAAAGTGTGCGCCGCACAGGCCTCACCTTCCCACAGCCGTTGATCATCCCACTGGCTCGTTGGCCACCCTAGGGCCTGGACTACGACCTGGCAAACGATGGAGAAGACCGGCGCAAGGCGTCCTGCTGGGCCTTCCTTTGCCAGGCGGGTTTTCAGAGAGGGGTTTGTAGCCCAGGTGAGCGGGTGTCAGCTTTGCTCAATGCTCTATTGTTCCTTTTTGGTCGGGCCCCAGAAATTTGGGGGACGATGGCTTGCAGCACCAGTCGGCACAGGGTTCTTTGGCAGGCCGCCATGCGTTTTGCCAACACCCCCCGCCCCATTCCCCGCCCTTCCCACGTGCTTGGGAACCTGTGCCGACCAATGTGTCGTGTCGCACCGCGACACATCTCCAACTGGCACGCTTCCTTTGGCTTCCCTTGCAACACTGTCCGTTCAAAACGGGCCCAACTAGTTTGGACAAATTTGGCGCCGCACAAAATGGTTGGTTTCACCTTGGCTTTTCACAAGAACCAACCAGAAAGCGGTTCCTTCAAGAAATCCCAATTTCTGGGTCACGATTCAGGACACCGCCGTCTCGGACACAACGGAGGAGACTGCCTCTCCGGATTTGTCGGAGGATGGGATGAGTGAGGGGCCGCCTGTCCAATTCAGAGACGCGTCAGTTCGCTTTTGGCGGACAGTGATGGATTTCCTTTTCAGGAAGCTTGAAGCTCTTTGACGGATTCCTTCGTCATTTCAGCAGAGGCCCAAGAAGGCAACTGAGCAGGCCAGTTTTTTTGGAGGAAGCCTCACGCGGGATGATGGGGTCAACGGTGTTGGGCGATGCACCATAAAGATGAGGATGGCGGGCCAGGCGAGCTCAGATGACTGGTGAGTGTGGCACCATGAGTTTTCTTCCACAAATATTGACGTGCGCGTATTCTTGTACCTAACCACCACAAGCATTTGATCTAAAGAAGTTTGCTCGGTTTTAACGGGTCATCTACGCACTATTGCGATTCCCTTCACAAACTGCATGTGCTTGGGTGTGTGTGTGTGTGTGCGTACCAAGGTCCCGCGTGGACGGGCCCCCGCAGCCGCGGACAATCTTCCACGCGCTTCACTACACCTTCGAGGAGCTGCGCACTTTGGACTCATCTCAACGTCCACATTTGGTTTGGGACTAACGGACTACAGAGGCATTTGGCCACCTGAGGCTCGAGACCCCCCGCCTTGATATACTCTCTATTCGGGCAACATGGAGCCTTGCAGTTTCAGACCGCTTTCCTCTACACTGGACCCTTTGGCAGAATCCATGTGCACTTGGCGACACAGGGGGATCCCACAGTCCAGAAAAGAACGGCATGAGGCGGACTTGTAGATGCTTCATCCATGCACCACGTCGGACCTTTGTGTTTGCGCAATGCCAAATTCCGGCAAGGCTTACCTTTTGGCACTTTGGCACCCTTCCCGGATCAGACGGGCCCTTTTCAACCTGGGTGGTAACCGTTCATTTGCCTCTAATCCGACCCCTCCGAGTTGTGGTCTCCCTTTAAAACCAACCAAAAACGGGTACCAGAAAAAGCAAGGCCCATCTACAGACCATCGTTCCCGATGTCCGATCAAATTCTTTTGGGCTTTTTGGGTGGCTGGCTGATGTAGGGGGCATACATTGAATGCTGATTTGTTGATCCTACAATAAGTCTTGAATGGACCCTAACTCTTCGTTCAATGCTTCATGGATCGTATCCCCATAATTCTAACATCTAAAGTCCACTATTACTCTTTAATGATCCCCAAGGGTTCACTCAATTTCTGCAAGGCCCATGAATTCACTGATGCAAGTGGATGGGGAGCAGGTCGGAGCATAGGTGTCGTGTTTAGGTTAGTTTGGTTAAGAATAGAAGGCACTGGTTTAGCTGGGTTTGATTCCATTTACCAGGGCCATCTATTTTTCCAAAAGGACACCTATGTGCCGGAGGTGCTTTCGTTTTCAGTCTGCCAAGGCCGCATTCTCCCGGAGCTGGCGCTGAAGGGCTTCGATGCGGTGCAGATTCCTCCGGCACACATCAGCCCGCAAGGCCGGATCGAAAAGACGAAAGGGTATCCTCTCAAAAAAGACGTGCCCATTGACCTGTGGCGCCTTGTTTTGCTAAACTCGGGGGGTGGTACCCATGTAAATTTGTCCAGCTTTGACCGCGCGGATGGATTTCTTGACCCTGAGCCACAATAAAACCCGAGTAGTTGAAGGTTAGTAGGGGACAGTCCATGTTTTGCCCATGGTTTGGGGGCAGATCTCTTGAGTGCCGGTGTAGAGCGATTCTCGAGGCGACCTGCGGCGCAGTTGGTTTTTGCGATACCAGCCGCTGAGCTACCAGGACATCGACCCCGCCTTAGGCAGGACGGATCGGTGGGCCCAGAATGGGCGGGTCCCGAAATGCACGACGTTCGAAATCCCTGCACAAGAAGTCTCAACTCAAGTGGATGCCACTTTGGGAGGGCCACGAAAAACCTCCACTTCACTATGGAATCAACCTCCACCCGGCGTTGAGAAATATCTATGCAGCTGGCAATCAAGTCGAAGCTGCTCCGCAGTTTAAACCTTTCAAAGCACGAGTCAGCTTGTTGCAAATGCACGCGCAAAAACGGCGGGCTTGCCGGAACAAATCCCATTGCCAAAGATGCACTGGAACATCTGCATTCGCGATCCTATCATAGGTGTCCTTTTTTAGTTAATTGAATTAAACAATAGAGGGCGATTCCTGGTTTACCTGGTGGTTCAAACATCTACCAGGGCCATCTATTTTCCCAAAAGGACACCCATGGATTCCGTGTCTCTGAGTGTTTCAATCACGACACACGGGACCTGTCGTGCGTTCCAAGCGCCGGTTTGAGCTGTCGCCGAGTTCCTCGAGGCTGACGTGAAGCATTGCTGAATGGCTCATGGGAAAAGGGGGGTCAATGGCCTGTGCAAACAAGGCCTTGGGCATGCCTTCCTTTTGCGCGCCGATTTTGTTTCTTCTTTTTTCTCCTGGGCGCCGATTGCTTTTTTTTGGGGGGGACCCCGGGCCGATGGGACGTGCGAAATTCCGACGGAGGCGGCGCTGAGGGCCTGTGGAGGCTCTGCGAGGAGGCGGCGGACTTCCGGATCATCGTGCGCCTCGGGTCCCCATAGGTCGGTTTTGCCCGAGTCGGGAGAAGCTGCCGTGGATTGGTTCGAAAGAAATGGCTTTGGAGATCCGATTCTCGGTATTTCAGTTTGTTTTTCCAGAAAGGAATGGTACTCGCAGAGAGTTGTGGAGGGTTTCTGGGGGTAGCCAGAAACTCGGTTGGGTCAGAGGGAAGCTGAGACACTGGGGTGGCTTCCCTTTCCTCCAGAGGATTTGTCCCAGAACGAGGAGGTTTCAAACCCAGACCCCCAGCGGTGCCTCTTTTTTTTGTGGTTTCCATTCCAAGACGAGCAAACAAGGATGCCCTGTCTTGCCCCACGTCCGTTTTCTGTTTGGTTGGCGGGAAGCACGGGGAAAAAGAAAGAAAAAAGATCCAACTTAGATTGTCTCGGCGAGAAGCGTCTCAAAAAAGTCCGGAGTATGAGTATAAAGGTAGAAACAAGTTGGAAGGATCCTGCGTTCATAGGAGAAGAAATCATACACACGTTCAGTTCAGACAAAGTGGGTTAAAACAGGGACAGACAAATGAAGGGACGGGGCGAAATGAAATAAATGCGATTCTTGGAGAACACGTTTATCCCTCCAACGAACTTGGTACGAGAAAAGCGTGCCTATGCGGACCAGGATGAGGGAGACTGAGGTCTAGCCGATGGCAGGTTCCTTGCAAAGGTACTACATGGTGTATTTCACTGGGAAACCATCAGGGTTGAGACAACCATTTGCTGAGATTTTTGTTTGTTTGTTAACTCCATCTTGCATATCCAGCAGGTTGCGGTATACCCACACAGCAGAGAGCATCTTCATGCAAACATGTCTCGCAAATGCCAGCTTTCCGTTGTTTGGCGATGACTTTTGCTGACAAGCAAGTTCGGACCCACGCTTGCAAAGCCTGACCATTTTCATAGGCTTGATTTGGCTATTTGGGCCTACCCTGCAGCCCCGTTCCTTCTCGAGAGTGAGGATCGCCGACTGCGTGTTCAACCACATGGCAGTGGTTGCCTCGTGTCAGGAATGGCAGCAGGCTGGACCCGATAGTGACAAGGCTTTCAGTGACTCATCCAGGTTTCGGCACTCCCCCCAAAAGCTGTTCGTGTCTTTCTGCATTCTAACCGCAGTCAGCGTAGCGACTTGGGAAGAAGAGTCAGGTATTGGCGAACGTTGTCACTTGCAATGGGTTCTTCCATTTCCGCGCAGGCATAAACCTCTGGGGGGAATGGTTAAGTTATCACTTGCACTTCTTGCTCGAGATCGGCATCCATTTGAGTTGTTTCGCCCCTTCGGAAGGAAAGGTCAGTCACGGTGCCAGACCAGACGGGTTCCACAAGAATAAAGGGGGTTGCATTGTTTTCAGTTGTTTCTTTCTAGAAAAGTACGCACATAACTTATGTTGCCAAAGTACATGAATTTTCCTCAAGCGTTGTTTTTACCACCCAAAGTATGTACATTCCTTCCGAACACATGGCGATCATCTCCTGAAAGCCTCCCAACCGGGGAAAGCAAAAATCCTCGAGGGTCCCGTCTTGGAGTCGGACGCGGCCAGGCGCAGTGGGACGGGGGTAAGATGGAAGAGCTGCAGCAGCGGCTGGACCACACCTTCGGGCCTCACCTGCGCCTTGAATCGGATGAGGTTTGGTCCATCAAATCCTGATTTCTGTGTTGTCCATGTGGGAGGGACGTGGGGACTCACGAAAATGTCTGCAAAAACCAGATGACTCAATTTGACTGTTCAATGCTCCTTTAGGGGAAGCAAGCAATGTTTATCTTGGCTCATGTGTCGAAGTAGGCAGACCTCTGGTTTTTCCCTTCGATTTCCCAGCCTCAAAAGTGCATGCCGTGCGTTTTAGTTTTTCGCGAATCGGAACGCCAATTTCGTGTTTGGCTCGCCCAGTTCGGATACTGAATGGACCCTTTTTACATGCTCCGGGGATCTCTTTGGGCAAATTGTAGTAAGCTCAGTTGACAATGAGCTCACCTAATTATGAAGGTTCTTGCATGACTGCCCTTAGGGTATTGTTTGTGAAGGTCTTCTGGCGAGTATACTTTCAGGTTGAGCAAATATGGGTGTGCATTCTTTGAGGGTACCCTTTTTGGGTTTGTTTGAAGGCCACAATTCTTTGGGCACCCAGCATGTTGACACACAAGCACATGATGGGCCAGACTCCAGGCTTTTTTTTTTTTTGTGTGTGTGTGTGTGTGTGTCTGTGTGTCTGTGTGTCTGTGTGTCTGTGTGTCTGTGTGTCTGTGTGTCTGTGTGTCTGTGTGTCTGTGTGTCTGTGTGTCTGTGTGTCTGTGTGTCTGTGTGTCTGTGTGTCTGTGTGTCTGTGTGTCTGTGTGTCTGTGTGTCTGTGTGTCTGTGTGTCTGTGTGTGTGTGTGTCTGTGTGTCTGTGTGTCTGTGTGTCTGTGTGTCTGTGTGTCTGTGTGTCTGTGTGTCTGTGTGTCTGTGTGTCTGTGTGTCTGTGTGTCTGTGTGTCTGTCTGTGTCTGTCTGTGTGTGTGTGTGTGTCTGTGTGTGTGTGTGTGTCTGTATGTGTGTGGCCCCCCTGTTTCTAAGGGGTTTCCGCTGTCCTTTTGAGTTTGGAGTCGAACACCACCTTGCTGGATGTCTCAACATGAAGTAGTGTCACCTACCGATGGCGTTCCTGAAGAGGATGGTCGGTGGCACGAAAGATGTTTGAGCATGCAGTAAGCCGAAACTCCATTGCCCTCGCGGAGACCTTCAAACAGCCTGTGCCTGGGGTGCACCTTGGCAGTTTCGCCGTCTCATATCAAGTGTGTTTAGGCACTGCGTCCGGGCTTCGGTCAGTGTCTTGATCCCCGTTGTGGGCATCTGTTCCGACTCATGCAAAGACATTTTCTACAGACAGTTACCGGACCTTGTCGCTCGTGACGCTTGACTGTTCCAGCTGACCTTCTCAATACAGGCTTGGACTTCTCCCAGACGTTTCGGCACCCCTGACTGTTTCCGCGGACCTCTTTCAGTCAGACAAACTGTTTGACTAACCACCAGACCACCCGACACATCAGGCCAGAACTCATGACGCCGTCAGCTTGCTCTTGGCTCGCAATTGTCGGCAGCAGATGCCACGCCCCAACGCAGGTCCGATGTCGAACTCAGCAGGCCCTATGTCGAAGGCCACCAATTACACAGCGGGTCCTACGCCACCCAGATCACCAGTGAGCCAGACAGCATCACCGAGCAGGAGTACACTTGTGGCACCGACCTTCAGCACTACTGGCAGCGCAGCAGAAGCAGTGCTCAGAGTCGTCCTCCAGAAGTACTCAACTACGTCCGAATCCAAAGGCACACCCACCGCTGATCCTGCTCCCCAACCCGCAGTCCGACCCGTGGAGGAGAGAACTTCAGGTACTTGCCTCGCAGTACGTCCGCGACGGGATCCCGGTTCATCAGGAGCAGCTGGACTATGTGGCCGCTACCCTAAATGCAGCAGGAATACCGTCTCAGCACTCCACCTTGGCCTATGCAAAGGTCAATTCGGACCATCACTACTCCACACTGGTTCATGCTGACCGTCCCCTACCTCGGCGCCACAGTTAGGCTCAAAGAACCAACGAAGACGCGACCCATGCTGCTCTGGACTAGTATTGGCGGTACTCGAGGCATACTACGAAGCCGGCAGACACATCCTTCCCGGCAGCATAGCTCGGAGTGCCCAGCCTTTTACGCCCAAGGTTGGAAAATCACAGGACACGCCGACTACGACGCTGAAGAAATAGCCCGGATGATGTCTCAGAACTGGAGTATGTCTTTCAACATGGCCCAACTATTGCTGTTCGGGCGCGCCGTTGGTACCTGTCAGCCGATTCGTGGAGGGGGAGAACGAGCTTGCGTCGAGGCCTTGGATTCCAGTGAGCGTCCTGACGTCACACACTATGTTGCAGGCAAGTGTTGGCTGGTGATTCCAGAAGCCAGCCAGATCGTTGGACTCGCATGGCCTACCGACGCGAAACCACCCACAGGTATTCTCCGCTCGTGAACCTGCATCAGGCAATGATCCAGATGACCAATCTACCACTTCGGCAGTCATGCTTTCCATGAGCTTTATCGATGCGCTGGTTTTGCTACACCGGCAACCCGATCAAACGTTCATTGCAATACCACATCGCCGTCTCCGCCCGCCGACAGCATTTTGCGACAAAAAGTGCATGCCGGGGCCTTCTGACGCAAGCACGACTTTATTTTGCTGGTCTTCTTGACGTGGTTTCCATGGTCTTGTGTTGATCCGCTTGTGTTGATCGCTTTTTCTTAATTTCCGGCCTCTGTTTGAAAACCTTTGTCAACGTGTCAACCCGTGCCGCATGCCCAGCGTTTGGTCAATCAATCAGCTAGTGCCAGAGATAAACGACCATCCCTTGATGGCCTCTCAGTGGCCCTACTCATGGCCGGCGACTTCGGCAACCCCTTCTTCACAACCGCAGTACCCCGGGTCAATCCTCCTCGGCCTCCACATATGACCTACCAGTTCCCACCGCAGCCTCCTGGCCAGTTTTACAACTATCATGGCGGTGGCACGACCCACATACAGACAGGTTCTCGGCCCCCACCACCAGCACCACCAGTTCAACTTCAGCCCCGTGCGCCCCTAGGCCAAGGCGATACAACGCAGTATACTCAGCCTCGCTATGCGCAGCTTCTTCCCGGCACCTTTCAATCTGATGACATCTGTCTCGACAAAACGGAAGTCCGTGGCCTGCAACCGTCAAATTCAACCCACTCAGTGGTCTCGCAGGGTCGGACTCGCAGGAACAGCAATTCTAGATCTTCCACTGACGCGTCTTCTTCGTGGAGGAGCAGAAGATCACGCGCTCAGAGCGCTATCGAACGGGCGATACAGCGCACCGGTAATGGCTCAGACAGTTGCCGAGGCGGTGTTATTGACATCAATCCTCCAAGCCTTGCGAGGCAGGGAAGTCGACATCGATCGGACAGCCCGCTCCTTCACCCGGACAATGCGCCAGACAAGCGCAATGAGGCTATGCAGTTCATGGAGCCGCTCGCGCTCAAAATCGTGGACCTCATGGAGTCCCTGCAGCCTGCCAAGCAGGAGAACCTCACCCGCCACAAAATTGCCGAATTGGAACATCAGCTTGAGAGCTACAAGAGCAAAGGCATCACTCTCACACCGGACAAGAAGCAGCCATCTTCGCCTCCTTCCAATACCACTTCCTGGACTCCCACACCTGGCCGCTCTGACCAGTCCCTCTATATCAACAAAGCGATGTCGGATGCTCCTGGGCCCCCCCTACCAGTTCCTTCTCCGGAGGCTGATCCAGCTCCCAAACGACGCCCGGCCAAGCGCAAGACTCCAGAGGCCGCCCCGGACATCGCCCTAGATCCAGAGCTTTTACGTCAGGGCAACCCCAAGGGCCAGCAGATCCCACTTCCCACCAGTCTCACGGACAAAGTCTTCAAAGCGTGGTTGCAGGAACGCACGACCAACCAAGCGACTTATCTCGACCTCGTCAAGCAGGATCTGGCATCGGACACGGTGGAGCAGTTGAAAACCATTGCAGTCAAGTGGGGGGCGACTATCTCGCTGGTGAGTAAGGGATCGAAACGAGCGCTCCTACAGTTCATCACGATACTGTACATGTACGGCAAGTGAGAGAAGCGATGCTCGCACTCACGATGGAGGACGTTAGCAAACTATGAACCGGCTGGCACAAAAGGCCCCACTGCTAGGCGCGCGGTCCAAATCAAGCTGCTCCCCTGTGGGTCGATGCCTTTTTCGCTAGGACGTTGTGGTTCCCTCTGGTCTTCCTTTTCAGGTGTGCCCGGAACGTGCCCTGGGTTCTTCCTTTGCTTTTTCTTTTTCTCGTTCTTGCTTCTCGGGGGTTTGCATGCCGGTGTTGTTCTAAGTTCACCCCAACTAACACGCCGGCGCTCAAGCCTGCTACATATGGCCAAGCCATGCCGGTCATTCAGTCTCCGGAAACGGTGTTTCTCCTGCAGCTCTTCGGCAAGTATGAAAGTTCAGAACTATGCGGCGCTGCCAAATACTATGGCATCCCTGAGCCCATGTGGCCAGTTAGCTTGCAACACGGCACCGACCACTTCCGAACACCTCACGGCGCTCATTGCGCTACGACTCGGTGATCCACTCGATGTCAACGCATCCTACCAATATTATCAGGTTCTCTACCTGATCATCATTACGTGTCGCAGAGTTCTCAACATGCCGATGGTCAACAAGCAACTGTCCATGTGGGCCGAGTCCCTAGCCACACTGCTCATGGTCCATCACTACGGTCGTCCCACACATGCACTTACAGAACTCAGGCGCCGACTACGACGCTTGCACATCCACCCGAACATGTACACCTTCACCCACTTCTCGCAGACCAATGCGGTGTACTGGAAGCAGCGAGTAGAACTCCGCCCTGACCTTCCGCGCTCAGTCAACCCACAGTCCGATGTATACATTGGCAGTACCAGCATCACTTATTCCAGCCGAGAGCACAATCGTAGAGCCAAGCTGCTGGGTAGTCAACATGGGCAATTCACTAATGCTGAACCGGCGCTCAGATGGTGGCACCACTTCGGCAACTATGATGAATTTGCCACCTGGGTCATCCTGACCGACCCCGACCACACAGTCACCTGGACTCAAGAGCATGCCCTGATCAGCATTTATCAGCCGTCCCTCAATTGGCCCTACATTTACCGGCGATACAAGCGTATCTCCACCGGATACACAGCTACCAGGTTTCTTGCTGAACAACCCTGGTCCAGCACCTTGGTCAAGATTTTGTATGCCACAACGAGGATCATGACAACCACCGCCTCATGTTCTTCTGTCCTCAACTCTACTTCAAGGGCCTCCACAATACCTGGCTTCAGTCCAGCACCTTCGAAGCCACTACACTGAAGCCCGATCAAGCAGCGGCCATTATTCTTGAGGCAATTCCAAAGCACCTGCGGCAGAAGTACAAATGGGCATACCGGAAGAAGACCACCTCCATCCCGGTTGGAAAAGTCTTTCTCAAACCGAAAAAGCAGTGGAAGTCGGGTCGCACCATTATAGCATATCACAAGGTGGTGCACCGGCTACTTTTCAAAGCAGTCGCCATCCTTCTCGGCGAGATTGCCGCAGACACATGGAGACGCTCATGGGGGATACATCCCACACCACGCATATGGCAGAACATCAAGCAGTACTTTGACAACACAGATGACACAGTCACCCTTCCACAATGACGACTTAGTCGGCTTCTTCAACAGTGTTCCTCAGGACCAGGTGTGTGCAGCGGTCGCGCAGCTACTCGCCGAGCACCAACGAGACAGGCCCAGTTCCGTGTACTCAGTGGAAACACAGGCAACTGCCCACCACAATCGGGTGTTTGCGGGCAAGCAATCCTACGGACGCACACCGACCACGCGCATCATCCACGTGGAGGACATCATGACCATTGTCAAGTCCAGCTTCCAAAAGGCATGTATGTTCAAGTGGGGACCCTCATCATGCGCCAATTCCATGGTACAGCAATTGGCTCCCGGTCTTTCCCCGCAGCCCCCCGGTCTTTCTTCCCGGTCTTTGTTCGACCCCTTCCCGGTCATTGCTCGACGCCTTCCCGGTCTTCTCCCGGGGCCTTCCCGGTCTTTGTTCGACGCCTTCCCGGTCCTTGCTCGACGTCTTCCCGGTCTTCTCCCGGGGCCTTCCCGGTCTTTGCTCGACGCCTTCCCGGTCTTTGCTCGACGCCTTCCCGGTCTTTCCCCCTCAGCCGTTCTTTCCCCGCAGCCTTCCCGGTCATTGCTCGACACCTTCCCGGTCTTCTTCCCGGTCCTTCCTCGACGCCTTCCCGGTCTTTTTTCCGCAGACTTCACGGTCATTGCTCGACGCCTTCCCGGTCATTGCTCGACGCCTTCCCCGGTCTTCTCCCGGGTCCTTCCCAGTCTTTCCTCGACGCCTTCCCGGTCTTCTCCCCGACGCCTTCCCGGTCATTGCTCGACGCCTTCCCCGGTCTTCTCCCGGGTCCTTCCCGGTCTTCCCTCGACGCCTTCCCGGTCTTCTCCTCGACGCCTACTTAGCCACATATGCGTAGCAAGGCACGAAGTCATGTGGCAGCGTATCTATGGACAATGGTACACCAGTCACAACGTCTTCTTGGAGCGATATGTGGACAACCGGTTTGTCATCTTCCCTTCTCCATCCTCAGGTCACCCGGCGCCCCCACTGGAGGCACTGCTCCAGGCTGACTTCTACGGTGCCCCCAACAAGTGGGGTCTTCAGAGATGTCGGCGACCGGTCTATTTACTACAAAACCCCTACAAAGATCTGGCAGATACGAGGACCACGCACTGCTGGAAGCCTCTCCATCCTCCTCTCAGGAGCTAGGTCACGGTCAGCCCTTGCCACCAAGTACGCGCATCCGGCCAGAGCAGTACAGATGGCACTGGATCAGCTTCGCAGCATCTATTTGTCCGCAGGCTACAAGTCAGCTGACCTGCAACACCTGTTTCACCTACCGGCGACTCCAACACGAAAGAATTCTCAAGCGCCTGCCTTTTGGCTCTTACCCTCATGTGTCCGCGTTTGTCTTTTCTTGTTCTTCTTGGTTTCTTGTTTCTTGATGTCCGTGTTGACCATGGTGCTCATACACTGGTTCAAACAGTGCTGCACTTCCTGCCGACCTCCGCGGGCTGTCGCCATGCTCGGCCGCATGATAGCGCTTCATCACCGCATGACTCAGAACGCTGGTGACATGATGCAGCTCATTCAGGAGACCTTGAACCAAGCTGACGAGGCACGCAGTCGCCGGCACCATGATGGGCAAGGTCGCTGGCAACAACAATATGTCCAAGGCCGGTCGCTGGCCGAGCCATCACGGCTACACGCACCTGCTCCTGTTGGAGCCGATGAGGTAAACCCACCTGGCCCGCCGATGTCGAATCCAGTCAACCCAGCATCTCCGACCGACCCTCCACCACATGTCGGATTCCAATCAATTCAGTCACACGCAGACCACAGGCGGAACGTGGCGGTCAACCCCAAGTCGTTGCCCTATTGCATCATCGCGGCGGACACCAACGACCCGACAGATCTACGTTCGAAGAGCCCCATGGTGCACAATTACGTTGGTCAGCCGGGCTTCAAGAAGGCCAATGTTCCTTGCTCTATCATGGACAAGGGTGAGGCCGATCGACGCAGAACCAAGCGAAAGCGAAGCCGCGCTACATGTCCAGCACCTCGTACTCCAGCTCCAGCTCCGGTCTCTCCCTGCGCTGGCCTGGTATCCTCTCCTGAATCCCTTCCTGAACCTCCGGCTCATGCTCATTCCGATGCCGGCAACCCAGGAACTCCCCCGGAAGCACCTCGTGCCTGGACAGAGGAAGATGACCAGCAGCTTTGCAGCCTGCGGATGTCACGCAGCGCTGGAGGAGCCTGGAACGCCTCAGGAAAGCTCGGGAACAGAATCAGAAGACTACCTGAACGTGTCCAACACAGCCTGCCCAGTCGTCTCCGGTGATACAGGTGCAGCTCTACCACGGATTTGGGGCATCGACTTTTTGAACTCCATATGGGAGCAATGCGTCCCTTCGGCCACAATCAAAAAGTCCGCAAACAGCCGCCGCCGGTGTATGTCTTGGCATGGTTTTGGTTTTCTGTTTTGTTTCTGTTTTGCTTCTGTCTTTGAGGGCCCCTGCTGTCTGGGTTCCTGGTTGGCCCTTGTTTTAGAAACTGGCTTTTTAATACTGTGGGACGCGCGTCTAGACGCACAGGCAGGATTTAAAAAAGTGACCAAATCTCCCATCGAGGCGGCCTTTCGGTTTCCTGTGTTCTCCCCCTGCGGGGTGTGTGTGTGTGGCCACCTTGCTGGATGTCTCAACATGAAGTAGTGTCACCTACCGATGGCGTTCCTGAAGAGGATGGTCGGTGGCACGAAAGATGTTTGAGCATGCAGTAAGCCGAAACTCCATTGCCCTCGCGGAGACCTTCAAACAGCCTGTGCCTGCTTGGGGGTGCACCTTGGCAGTTTCGCCGTCTCATATCAAGTGTGTGTGTGTGTGTGTGTGTGTGTGTCTGTGTGTGTCTGTGTGTGTGTGTGCTGTGTGTGTCTGTGTGTGTCTGTGTGTGTGTGTGTGTCTGTGTGTGTGTGTCTGTGTGTGTGTGTGTGTCTGTGTGTCTGTCTGTGTGTCTGTGTGTCTGTCTGTCTGTCTGTCTGTCTGTCTGTCTGTCTGTCTGTCTGTCTGTCTGTCTGTCTGTGTCTGTGTGTCTGTGTGTCTGTGTCTGTCTGTGTCTGTCTGTGTGTCTGTGTGTCTGTGTGTCTGTGTGTCTGTGTCTGTGTGTCTGTGTGTCTGTGTGTCTGTGTGTCTGTGTGTCTGTGTGTCTGTGTGTCTGTGTGTCTGTGTGTCTGTGTGTCTGTGTGTCTGTGTGTCTGTGTGTCTGTCTGTGTCTGTCTGTCTGTGTGTGTTCGCGCGCGCGAGCGTGTGTGTGTGTGTGTGTGTGGGTGTGTGGGGGGGGGGCAAAGGCTGAGCTGGCAAGCCACTCTTGAACCTCCTTTTGGGTTCCCTTAAAACAGAAGTCCTTGCTTGTCACCTGTTTTGAGACATCCCCAGAGTTGGCACATTGGGTTCCGTCCCTTGTGGAGTCATTCGAGTTACAGCGAACACACTTGAAGGCAATTGTGAAGGTGCAATTCACCAATGCCTCACAAAACTGCAGGTTTCAGCCTCAGCGAAGTCCGTATGCTTCCTCTGGAGCAAACATCACAGCTAGGTCCCTGGCTTGGTCAGGTTTGAGACGTGAGCTGCAAGGTGGATTCACTAGCCCATGCCGTCGGTTACGGCTGTCTGTTTTTGTTGACAAAGAAACACTACAAAGTCAGAATGGGTCCAGGTTGGATGGTCTTCCGAGATAGACCCTGGATTTAGCCGGGTAGAGACTTTAGTAGAATCCGGAGCCAGCTTTCAAGGGATGCTTGTCCAGGTTCGTGGCTTGCCCTCAGCTTAGCATCGTGGCACACCCTGAAAACATGTCTACAACGGTCTCCCAGACACGTGTACAAATCGGGCCGTGTACAAAATGGGCTAGCAAAGTGATATAGCAGGCAAAGGGGCGTATGCCTTTTGTTGCAAGGAACCGCCACGACTTCCAGTGGCCCTGGATTTGCCTGGAGAATGAGACCCAGCCGCAAGCAGATGTCCACCACCTCTTTTTTGTTTTCTCCACTATTTTTTTCCTCCGATTTTGAGCAGGTTAGGTGTCCACCACCGTTTTGCTTTCTCCATTTTTTTGTTTTTGAGTAGGTTAGGCGAGTCCACCGTTTTGTTTCGACAGCCAAAGAGAGAAAGTTCAGCTGGCTCCAAGGAGAAGTGGGACGACCCGCATTACATGTTCGAGGGCTGGGGCTGCGGGGAGTGGTCCGAGCTCAGCTGCAGCGAGAAGGTGATTTCCCAACACGTGCCTCGGCGTCCAGTTTTCGGCTGAGCTCGGGCGATTCCAAAACGCGCCCGCAATAAAGATCCACACGGATATTTCCCTTTTGGGGCACTTCAAACATCAACTTTCGGCCGACATTGAGGGTTTCGACTGATTTCCCCCTCAATTATTGCAGTTCACCCGGCAGTTCACCCAGATTTGGGTTTGGAATAGGGGCACCCAACATGTGGGTCCTTCTGGTTTCCCTTTAAACCGCCCCGAAAAGGGTCTCAAACAACACCCCCTACTTGGTTTCATGGTTCCATGCTGTTCCATGAACTTTGTTTGAGCGTGTTTTTTCTCGCTCGGACCGAACCCTCCCGTTTTCCCAGTTTGCGTCGCGGTTGAAAAGGCCGCCTTCCATTGGCCTGGCCGGTTTTCTTGGGGATAGCTCGGATCCAGCAAGGGCGCGCGCCCTGGTTGGAAACACACAGCAGATGAACAAAACGGGGGGCGGCTCTTCCCCTGTTTTTAGGGGAAGCTCTTGAGAACGCAAGCTGCTCGGAAGCTCGGATCTGCTGCATTTGGGCCAATGGACTCTCCCGGGCTTCGGATCCCAAGGAAGAGATGTCCGGCCAATCCAGGACACATTTTTCCCCCACCACAACCAGAGGGACGGAACTCCATGGATCCCTACATGGGTATGTGATGGTATGTGTATCAAGATAGAAACCTCCTAAGAAAAGCCAACAGAGGTGGTTTGCCGTTTCCCCCAAACACAGCACGGAGCATGTGCGTTGTTTCCGTCCCAGCGGGGGCAATGCCTACTGAGATGGGGCATTTGCAGCAGCTCTTGGACTGCGGGGTGAAGGGCGTGCGCCTGGACGCAGCCAAGCACATGCGGCCCCAGCACGTGGGCCGCTATGTGGACTTTGCGCCGTGGCCAGAGCTGGGAGGGAGTGGGAACCACGAACTGGGTGTGGCTCGGAACTTGGTGGGCCGCAGATGTTCGTTTTTTTTTCTTCTTCTCTGTTCTTCGTTTGGGTTGCGGCATTCGGCCTGCAGCGCAGGCTTCAGGTTGGCCAGGCGTGGGCTGAAGAGGCTATGAGCCGCAAGCGCGAAGTCGTCATGCCCGTGCGAGTGCAAGGCAGCGTATGTGAAGGGATGCCGGGTTGGGCATGCGGCCCATGAGTAGGGCTCCCGGTGCGTTTGAGTTGGAGGAACAGGAAGACGAAGATGAGGAATGGGAGGAAAGCATTGCCAGCTTTCATCGAGCCTTGCTCAGAGAGTCCAGTTGCTCATACATACGGAAGCGGCCTGGCTACTTGCCATTCTTTTCAGGCTGCGAGCTATTCAGAATGACAAAGCATGGCAAACGATGAAATTTGATTCAACACCAGGTTTCGCAGCCAGGAACCCCAACAAGGAATGCCAAAGAGGAAGATTATGTAAGAGAGCTAGAATCCGCGGTGAATATGTGCATGGGACCAGAAGGCGCAGAAACCAGGGTCTTGCAACTGTGCTTTGGGTGGCTAGCAAGGCATCAAGGCTCAGCGAGTTGTGGGGCAAAATCTGTGTCAGGCCGCTTGGATTCCGTGCCATTCTTTTTGCGCAATTCATGGTTCCTAAAATCCCCTCAGTTCCGTAGAAAACCACCAGGATACCTGCCAAACAGGATTTCTGATCTCCAACTCGTGGGTTTCCTTATGGGGAGATGAAGGCCCGCGTGTTCTTGAAGCCAAAAAAAATCCAACTCAATGCCCAGATGGGTGGGGCAAAATATGGTTTAACCACCTTTACAAGGGAAGAATCGTCATATCTAGTGGTTTCAACAGGTTTAAACCAATGGGTGGCCCCACCCCAATGCCCAGAAGCTGAGACTGAGACTTTGTCGCGGGAGAAGGTCCTCCACCCAGCTGAGGTGCAGGACCAGGGAGGCTTCGTGTACGCGGAGGCGCAAACGCCCTACCTAGAGTCTCCATGACCCTTAAAAAATTGGGTCCATGACCCCTTAATTTTGGGCAATAACCCCATTAAAAAAAACAACAACAACAAAAAAGCGGTCATGGAGACTCCAGGAACTTCATGGGGCCACCGCGGCCCTTTTGGAAACATACCCTCAAACAGGCTACATGTTTATCTAGTAAGTGCGAAGATGCTATAGTAAGCCCCAGGCATCTACTTTGTTTTGGAAAGAGGGAAACATCAGGGCCACGCCGCCGAAACAACATTTAGATCGATAAGCCGAAAAGAAAGCCCCACTCATGTCTTTTGCGGTTTCATGATGCCCCGAAGGAGAAACATGTTGTTTTTGTTTGGTGGCTGCAGCAATCAAATACGATATGTCGGGGGTTGAACCAAGACAGTTTTCAGGCTGGTGGTAAGCAAGAACCGAGGGAGCCCAGTTTTCTTGCGACGTGGAACTCTGCTTTCCTGTGGGGGTAGCATCGCCTAGGGCTCCGTGCAGTTTCCGTTTCGGGTTGTTTGTTGCTGCGGCCTCCGGTCCGGTCCAAGGAGGCAAGTGCGACGGCCCCCCAGCGGATTCGAGCATATTGAAACAACACACCAGCTCAACAGTATTCACTGCAACTCGTGACCCTAGTGTTAACTCGTCAATCATGCACGCACTGATTGATGCTGAGCACATATGATTGTGCATATCATGCTAACCATGCCGATGATCACAACAATGACAGCTTGGCAACAATCATACTCAGAATGTTATTATAATGGTAGTGACAATGATGCCAACCATGATTTTCAACATTATGACGACACGCAAATGGAATCATGTTGCTGAGAAGAAAACGCAACACGTGTACTTTGAACAGGCAAACGGTCCACGCACAAGAAGTGACGCGAGTATGTGTAAATGCCTGTCCTGATTGGTTCAAATTGTTCACCCGTTGCTTCTTGAACCTAAGGGCTGATGTTTTTTGCAGGGGGGACCCTCTGGGGTCAGTCGTCTTAGGGGAGAACGGGATACGACATGAGCCCGGCCATAGCTTGTTTTTGAAATCTGATGTCATGCATCAGCAAACAAGGTGGTATGCCAGCATTGCAATTATTGTCACTGATACGCTTGACATCAGCTTAACCTTTGGGGGGGGGCATGGCGGATGCAGGTTTTGTCCATGGACAAGCAGCTGCACTCGCAATACGAGAAGCTTGGAAAGGCTCGCTATTTTCTTCATTTGGCGGGATTCTGGCGAAGAAAGCACGCCCAACAATCCTTTAGGCACGAGTGGAGTTGCTTCCTGCCTTCAAGGAGACAATCATATTGCGTCCGCAACAGGTTTGTCAGCCTCATATTTGAGGAACCCGCCCTACCTTGTCGACCTGTTGCCCGCTCATCGGCAGTTTGGCTTGTCTTCCAACGACCTTCGACTCCACTGTCAGACCAGCTGACAGCTTCGGCATGAAAGTGACTCTGGAGCTGTTTGGTCCCTTTCCTCGGCTTGTAAGGAGTCGGCTGGTGTTGAACCACTGGTCTCGTGAGTCGCATCAAGCAGAGTTCTGTGGGTAGAGGGAATGGTGTGACCTTGGAGCCAGCAGTCGTGCCGGCAGTCAAGGAAGCTCTTCAGCTTTTTGAAGCTTTCAAGGGACCATGGATCAGGATTCAAGGAGGAGAGTCCTCTGGCAATTTTCGTTCTGGTCCTCTGGAAGCTTCATGGTTCGTGAGATTCCCATGAAGACAAGGTGTGAGACGTTCATTCCAAATAATATCAGCGGGCACACATCAGTGGCTTTGGCCGACACTTTAGTGTAATCCAGGTGGGCCCCCCCCCATGCACTTATACATATTTCTGTATGTCATTGTTCTTTCGTTCATCATAGATTATGACTCATCACGTCACCCAATTGATCCCTCATCTCAAGCCAGCCATTCACAGGGCTGAGGCATCGACAGCGGGGTGAGTCGTCCTAAGCAGCATCCTCAGCTCTCTTTCTCTCGGGACCCCGGCTCCGACTCCAAAAGCAACGACCAAGCGGAGAAATGGAATTGAGTCTTGTTCTTGTCCTTGGCCAAGGTCTTTGGAGCAACCTCAGATTGGATCCTGGTGTTTGGACCCAAACAGAAAGCTCCGGTTGAAGCGAATCTGCCGGGTAGATGATGACCCATGTTGCTCAGAGAAGTGCGCACCAGTAACATCAAGAATCAAGATACTGTGATTTCTCCCCCGGCCCACACACCCCCCTGCACCCCCCCTCCTCCCCCAGTTCGCCCCCTCGCCTCTCCTCCTCTCCCCCTCCCCTCCCCCAGTTCGCCCCCTCGCCTCTCCTCCTCTCCCCCTCCCCTCCCCCTCTCCTCCCCTCCCCTCCCCTCCCCTCCCCGCCCCTCCCCCCACTTACTAGCGTTCCTTTCCTCTCAGCCGCTGAAAAAAACGAGCCTCGGCGCAGGGGGTGCCCTCCACGGACTTCGCGCTGGCGGCCTCGCTGGTCAAGGCCTGGCGCCAGGAGAACGGCGGCCAGGCGGCCACGCAGCTGCAGGCGAGTCGTGCGGTGCCGCGAGTGGTGGACGTCAGGTTTACGAGTCATCCTTGTTGGATCCAAGGAACCGGCAAAACAAGACAATATGCAGGAACCCCCTTGTTTTTGGGGGGTGTTTGGCCGTAGGGGGGGAAGCCATCATGGTGCGGAATCCTGGTTGCCTCCAATGGTTGCTGGAAGGACTGGTTATGAGGTTCGGACAGTCTCTGAGCCCAAGGGATGCACGTGCAACTGTGGATGGGCCAAATCCTGCACAAGTTGGGATGCCCAGACAGATGTCATTCATGGACTGAAGCAGCTTGACTCGTGTAGCTGGAGTGTGCAAAATCGACACGTTGAATCAAAACATAGACCGCAGAAGGGTACTCCCACGAGAACCAACATTGTTTGGGGAAAAAGCCCAAAGAGATGCCTCTACACCTCTACGCGTTCATACTTGGTGGGTTCCATGTTATCAACTTTCCAGCAAACTTAGCTCGAGATCAGCCTTCACGGCACAACTTCCCTCCGGATTTTTCCTCCGAAGGGGGGTGGGCAGTGACGAGACTTGCGGCAGGCGATTGATCACTTGGGCAGCCACGCAGTTCAGTTCGTGCGGAACCACGACACCATGTGCCGTGGCCTAACCAGGCTCTGGTTGCATTTGCTGTAAAGCTATCCAACAGGAGGTTGCTGGAACGATTGTGCTTTAAGCAAAGGGGGCGACCAATACACGACAAAAAGAAACAACCAGCATCTAGAAAAAAAAACACGACGGGGCCACGACGCGGCCACAAGAGCCACGACGGCGCCCACGTGCCTACATGCGCACAAATAGGCACGGTTAAAGTCGTAGGAAGGATGTGTTTTCGATTGCGAACATAATCATAGAACGGAACAAGTCGGTGATTTGGGGCCTTGAGATTCGGTGCAGTATTGTTTGTTTTTGTCTCGTCTGAAGCATGTTTAAAGGAGTTGGCTTAACCCTGCTGTTGGACGACCACATTTAAAGGGACAAACAAACGACCTTCGCACTTTTTTAGGGCCTGTTCTACTAAACGATCTCTTGTCCAAGGCCAGTGTTGGCCTATGCCCAGCCACGCTCTGAAAAAGTGACCCGTTGACCTTGTAATGCGCTGCACGATGCGATGAAGCCGCTGATAGCCGCGTGACTCACTGAGACTGGTTGGACATCCATGGGCGCAAGCGCCATGGACAAATTCTCATCGATTGCGATGTTTCATGTTTTGTGGTGCTCAGCACGTGGCAAATGGTCCATGCCATGGACAGTTGGAGGTTGCGTTTGCCGCACCAAACCCTTGAAACGACCCATTACCCTGGAAAAAAGGCTTTGCACACACATGGCTGTGGGTCAAACACATGGACCAAAATGTCTCCGGGTAAATGGAACCAAAGACTGGAGCCTGCGTAACCCTAGCTCTTTAATTTTGAGCCACACCCACATGGTGATCACCGGTATGACCAGCCGGTGCCTTTCAAGAAATATTTTTTGTGTTTTTTTCTCTTTTCGAGAGACGTCCGAACCATTTCCCATGGTCGACCTTCTGGGAGGAGAAAACCGTCGGCCGGAGGTTGCAAGCGTCGCAACGGTCGCAGGTTCAACGAGGGTCCCATCTGCGGCATCGACTGGGCCAACGCGGAGGAGGCGGCGCTGGCCTGGGCGTATCTCATCGCCAAGCGCCCTGGCGACGAAGGCGACGAATGCGAGGATGGGCGTGCGTGGACGTTGGCCGGAGGGGACGGGGACCGGGGGTAGCGGGCTGGGTTCAAAGGGAAAGGGGAAACCCAGGATTTCGATTGGGATTTCTACTGGTTCTATTGGTTTCTAGTGGGATTTTTACTGGTTTCAGTTGGTACCACTAGATAAACTTGACTTCTATTGGGATTCAGTTGGTACCATTTATTGGATGCCTATTGGGAAAAGGCCCTGTTACCCCAACTGTATGACTTTTGGTCAGTGGGGGAAAATAATGAAGACTCAAAGGGCACAAATTCATCCAACTCCCTGCACAATGATTCAACGTTGTTTGCTGATTCACATTGTGGAAATTGAAGGATATCGACAAGAAAGATAACCAGCACTCCCCAACGGCGTTTCCCCCATGTCAACCCCAAGTACTGTCCAAAACGCTGTTATCGGGTGCCGCATCATCTGGTGCTCGGAAGCCTCCAATGTACAACCCTCATTGGTCCGCGGTCAAGAGCAAACAGAAAGGCGAGCAAAGTGGGGAGTATTTCAAAACCCGGTTAACCCCAAGTGTTTCTTGGGATGGCACAATTCCTCCGTTTTTGATCTAGACATCCCCTTTTTATGACCTGCATGAAGGGAACTGTGCCATCCACTTTCACCCTGGTGCAATTTGTTGCAGGCGTCGGATGCGTTTGGCCAAGGAACGAGGGCAGTCTGCTCATCCACCAGGATGACATCCACCCGCCCATTGTGCAGGTGCAGCTGCGATGGGTTGCAAGGGGCTTTTGGCGGTTTCCCGCTTTTTGGGGGCGGTTTCTCCGTAAAAAATTGGCTGGCTGGGCAGATGGCGCGTTTCCCACTTTCAACCCGAAGGAAACGTCTCATGGCCTTTTGCCCAGGTCTGCAATCCATGTGGGTAGGGAGGGGGAGGGTTTGCCGTTTGGCTTCTTGTTTGAGCATCCCCCATTGTGCAGGTTAGGCCACACACACACGCATACTTTTTTGACTTGTTTCAAAGTGGTTTCCAAATCTGAGGGAGCCTGAACCCGTTGCGCTCGCGCGAGTGAGGATCCCCATGATGTTCGCGGATCCCTCCAATTCAAAGTCGTAGGCCTTTTGAGGGCACTTTTGTTAAGGTCCTTTGAAGGACAACAAGGGGGAACCAAATGAAAATCCCTCCAACCGCATGAACAACCATCCAAAAAAGAAGCTTCAAAGGAGAAGCCACACCAGCCACACCCCAAGCTGTGAAACTCCAAGGGACCCGAGGTTTCCGCAAAAAAAAAAAAAACGAGCGACGCAGCCGTGTGTCGTTCGCAGGCCGCGCTGGCCTTCCGCTCGGATCTGTCCTCCGTGGCGGTGAGCGCCTCGCCCTACCCCCTGAAGACGGAGCTGGTGGCGTGGCCGCCGCCCTCTTATGAGGCGCTTGGGTTGTTTGCGTAGGGGAAGTTGGTGTGACGGGTGATGTATTTTCGCTGTTATATGTATATATATATATATATATGTGTGAAGTACCGTTAAATATACTTCTTTTGTATTCAGTGTTTCATTGATATTGTGAAAATGCAAAACACAAAAACATGGCCAACCGATAGGGGACTCTCAAAAAACGATACCTCTGGATAACGATAGGGGACTCTCAGACTACAGTAAGTAGCGAAACGGCCGTCAGTAATTTCGACCGTGCCTCATTATATATATATATATGTATATATATATATATATATATATATCAATATTGGCATTTCAATCACTACCTTTACTCTTTTTTTTCTTATCACAAGTTCAGTTTCTTGAGCCACTGGCTCGAAACCCGGGTAAGCGAAGGTTAGTAAGGGATCCCAGCCAATGGGTGGCTTGTGCCTTCATTCTTGACATGGCTGTCAGTAGTACCGGGTTTTGAACATGACTCATGTGGGGAATTTGATGAAAAGGTCCGTGATACATGGGGCGACCAGAGAAACCACCCCACAAGACGACTTTCGCCACATGGGAAAAGGGATTGGGGCCGAAGGGAATATATATATATATATATATATATATTGATGAACCCCCATGTGGCTGACCGACCTGAAATATGGTTTGAACTGAACATTCAGTGCCTACCTGAGGTCGAACCGGGGCATGGCCTCGAGCGGTCTCCAGGGTTGTCCTTTGCAGACCTTTCTCCAACGCCTCGGATGGGTCTCTGCTTTGTGTGTCTCACGGGGTCGAAAGAAAGGGGGACCTTTGGTTTCCTCCCAAGCCTTTCGCGCGCATCCGAAAAGTCTTCGCCTTTCGCCGGTGTCAGCCGGTTCTTTCCGCTGAAACAGAGGCCTCTGGGTCCCGGCGCATTCAGCTTCCCAGCTTTGTGGTTTGGAGCCCGGTTTGGTGGTGAAATGGAGGGCCTTCCCACCCCTCTGCAATAGCCAGGGGTTCAACTCCCCAAACCACCAGTCCAAACCACCAGTCCAAAACCACCAACTCCGTGGTGCAAGAATGTTCGCACCTTTTTGCGCGCCAGACCTTGAGCATGCTGCTGACGCTGGCCGACTGCCCCGTCGGCCTGGCCGTCTTCAACCTGAGCTCCAAGCAGCAACGCCTGGAGGCCACGGACGGAAGGGCTCAGTGCTCTCAAGATGGGAACCGTGGAGAAGGGGGCGGGGTCCTCAAGTCCGATTTCTCTCAGGATGGCCAGTTTTCAGGGCCCTTTCCTGGTGTGTTGGGATTCCCTCCAAAGGGAAACCAACACGAGTGGTTTAGTGTTTTAAACAGGGGTAGGCCCAAGCTCGTTTCAGGTATGGGTTGTGTTGTATATGATATGGATGTTATGTACCAAAAGGGAACCAGCCAACTTTTAGCGAGAGCATGGAAGCCCTATTTTATAGTACCACCCACTTGTGCAAGGCTGCCTGCATCAGGCTGACCTGTTTGCGAATACCGGGCAGCTAAGTGCGGTCCGGAGAAGCAAAACAAACTCCTGGGATTGTGGGTTGAAGGGACCGATTCGGATTGACAAATCTCGTTCATCTGGAGAAGGGAGAAGCCACGGAGTTCATTGAGTCCCTGTTGCTTGTCGCCCGCCCGCAGGTGCCTTGGTCTTTGGAAGACTTTGGCGTGCACGAGGTGCGTGCAGGCAACAATGAGGCCGGAGCGACGCTGATTTGTGCCTCGCAGTCGAAATGGCTTTGGCGCCCACGTCTGCCTGTGCAAAAAAGTTGGGATTGCCGTTCCAACGATCTTGGGCATCCGGGAGCGTCAATGCACCAGACCCAGCAGGGCATAAAGGTGTTGGAGGCCACTGACCCGAACCTGCCATCACTGTGGCTCTCTGGGGCTCATCCCCCTGAAGTATCACCTTTGCATTTTCAAGGTGTGGCTTGTCAAACGAGGTCAGCCCAGGAACCACAGTGAGCATTTGTCCATTTTTGCCTCAAGCAAAGCCGGCAGTCTGACCCCGAAGCCACGGCACGAAGCAGGCACTATATAAAAGGTGTATACCAGATTTTCTTCTGGGATCCCAGAAAGTTTGGGTGTTGTTTTTTGAGTGTGGGAAACCAAGAGACGAACCCCGCACTTTGGGTTCACATCCCTATTTTGACCACGGAACCGACCGCGCACCACGGGCGAGTCCCGGGTCGCGAGGCGCTCGGGGGCCACTTGGCAGCGCGCTCTGCACGCTTCTTCCTGCTGGAGAGCGCGGCGCCGGTGCCCAACCCGGACGTGCAGTACATGACGCGCCCCGGCGGCATGTGGCTGTGGATCAAAACCAATGGTACCATTTTGGGGCAGGTGCACCCCCCATTTTAGAACCTATTTTAGTGGGGCATTGGGATGTTCACTGGAGGTACGATTTGGATTTTGACCCATGGCCATGTTGCAAACCCGGGGGTCAGTCAGGAATGAACAGGGGGCTTGCGGAATGGAACCAGGGTTTGCGTTAGGCTACGAGGGATGGTTTGGTTTGCGTCATTCCCTTCTGATCGGCAAAGGGAGATGCTCACTTTTCGAGCTCTTTTGCTTGGCAGACAAACAAATTGGAGTGTTTTGTTGGCCAGTCGACTCAGGGATGGAGGCAACAACCACATTCATGGTTACGGACAGTTGGGTAGGGCCACTCTGTTCTAGAAATAAGGGCGAAAGTGGTTGCTTTGCATTTGGCATCCCTCTCAACACCAACCAACAAGGGGTCCAATTATTATTGGACCCTCGAGGCTTTGTTGGTTTGAAGTTGCCTTTCTGTGATACGAAGGAAATCCTGTTTAAAGTGACGCCACTTTGCATCACAGAAACCATTCTGAACCCGCGCACGAGAGAAGGACGTAGGGCCAACAGCCCGATTCCACGAGGGCCGTTTCTTGGAGAACAGGAACAAGATGCCGGGGGTCCCTAGATATCCATGTCCGATCTAAAACATTCAGAGTTTCCTTTTGGCCGTGTTTGACCTTACGTGGGCAAAGCACATGATTCGTCATGGCGTAGCAAAGCGACACGGGGAGTTATGGGATGCAGAAAGAGCTCACATGATTGTTCTACCTTGACTCTATGTTGCCAATTCTTTGATCTTGGTTAACTTTCAGATTCTTGGGACTCTAGTTGACGCGAAATTGGGCAATCTCAACTCCGCGGATGTGAAGCAAACACCTAGCAGGTGTCTTTGTGCCTATGGGCTGTCAAAGTGCATAGTGGACCTAGTGGACCTCCAGATGGCCAGGTTCCTTTGAGGCATACTGTTGAAATCAGAAGCATTCAAGGTCCGACTCGGTTTGATCCGTCCCATGTGTAAAGCTGTGGTCTGATAGGTGTGGTTCATGAACCCTTGTGGGCCAGCCGCTTTTTGCCGGAGGCTTTTCTACTTCAGCACCTGGGAGCACCCGCACATCCACTTCTGCGTGGACCACGCCTGGACGGCCGCGCCTGGCTGGGCTCTCCGGAAGTCTGAGAAGCCGGCCGTGCGAGGTGCGGGAAAGGGGGGCGGTGGGGATGGGTGGGGATGGGTGGGGGGTGGGGGGGGTGGGGGCGGTGGGGATGGGTGGAGGCGGGATGGGTGCAGGGGGGGGAGGGGGGTTGCATGGGAAGGATGTTGAAAGGAAACCAGATGGAACCAACCTGCTTGAATTCCTGACATTTCACTAGGCTCGGACCCAGTTTGGCAGGCAATGTTTTGGCCTGAGCGAATGCCCGCGCCTGTTTTGTCCTCACCTTGCTATGAGCCCAATCGGCCATGGCGTGTTCGAGGTAATGCTGGTTCAATTTTTGAAGCAGCGGGACCTCGGGTTTGCCATGCTAGTCAGCTGGTGAGGTCTACTTACTCATTGAGTGGACATCATTTTGCGACGAGGGCTGACACACAGCACCTCCCCCGAACCGTTCTGGCGAAAGCAAACCACGAAGCGTTTCGGGCGTGGATGGGCGATTTGGTGGCGATGTCGCGATTTCCCGAAAAGGCTTGCGCCCATGGTGAGGGCTCCAAACCATTGGTTGGTTGAGGCTTGGTTCCCACTATATCGATGTACATCGGGTGTTTGCAAGAACAAACTCTTGCCTTGAAGTGCAGGTGGCGACATGTCGCACCTGAACGGACCTTGCAGGCCCCGAGGAAGTCCGAGTAGGCAAAGGGGATACCCTCCCCACCAACATTGAACCTGGGAAGACTGTGTGTGTGTGGTTTTAAAGGGACCCTTTGGTTTTACTGGTTCTCAGAAGGAAGGAGGGAATCACCCTGATGAAAACATGTTTGTGGCTCCTTTTAGGAGACAGGTTCATTCCAAACTTTGAAGGTGTTTTTGATGTTTATTGCGATGCAGCAAGTTATATTCCCAATTTTTGCCATACGGGCCAACGCCGGCTTCTCACAATCTAGGCACCTCAATGCTTGTTGCCTTATTCTACAGATTAGATAAGCACCTCTTTTCCCCCTTCCCCCCCCAAAAGGGGAATATGGTGAGAACCCCCCCCCCAAACGTATTGACCAGGAATCAAGATCCCTCGCAACGGCGGCCGCTGGTGGCGGGTGGATGTGCCGCTGCGGGCAGGGCCGGTGGAGTTCGTGCTGAACGACGGCAGGGGCAGCGCCACAGCGCCAGTTGGGGGGACCAACCGTTTTGAGAACCCCCAATGATATTCTTCCCTTTTGTTTTCTCTTTAAAGCCCAAAAAAAGGGGAACTCAACAAAAAGAGGCACCCATATTTTAGGGGGATCACTGGCAAAAGGAGCCGAATCCGCGCTGCATGAATGATTCCCCCGCTAAAAATTGAACCTCTGATTGGTATGGTCCTCACTTGTTTGGACTGTGAGGGAGGTAGGGGGGATTCTGAAATACCTTTGATACGTGTACCATGACACCATGAAGGCAGTAATCCTTTATTAAAGTAAATGAGCACCCTAGATCCTGAATGGAAGACGAAACACCAGTGAAGCTGCCACACGGCACAGTCTCGCGGTTGTCCGTTGCAGTTTTGTTGGCATGGCATACATCAGGAGAGTAGGAGGCCGCTTGGAATGACGGGCGCAGTGGCACCATTGCCACAGGAATCCACGGGTTCTGGACCTCGCCGGAATGTTGGATTTGGGAAGTCAAGTAACAACATAAGGGTATGTGTCAGAATAGCCCCCCAATCTGATTAGTTGCCTTTTGGTTTCCCTTGAAACCAACCCAAGAAACATGCGGTTTCCTTTTTAAAGTTTCCCTTTAGACCAATCCCAAGAAAAATCGGGTTTCCTCAAAAAAGACGCCACACCTCAGCTTGGAGCTCCCCCTTTCCCGAGGTTGGGACAACCATCCGAGCTCCAGGGGCAACTATGTGGCGGAGATGCCAGGCTTGCACATCTTGGTGGACAAGAGCCTTGCGACGCTCAGCCTTGGGGCGCCACCAGGCCTTCTGCCTTCCTCTTGAAGGGGACCCCGCCTTGTGCGCCATTAATAAAAAGGGGGAGGGGGGGGCCTTCGCCGAAGGGTGAAGCCCAACGCAAGCCGGCACACAGAACCCGACCCCCTTTGCGCCAAGGAGCCTTTGCCTCTAGAAGTCTCCAGCTCTGAAGGGTGCCATGTTTCGGCGGCACCTCTGGCCATTTTTCGCTAGAAATGTTTCCAGTTTTCCACCTGCCGCGAGCTCGCCAGCGATCTTCGCGTCACTCCTGCCGCAACGAGGCAGAAATCCTAAAACGAAATGCGAGCTGCAATTGAACCAATTGAGTGCGCTGGTGCATTTCTCCTAAAGGGCCCATGCCACGCCATACGTTATGCGCAGCGAGACCCCAGGTACACAGGGTACTCTTCTTGTCATGTTTTTGGAAGGGGGTTCCCTGTAAAACCCACCCAGTGGCACTTTTTTCCGTCATGTTTTTAGATGTGGTTTCCCTTCAACACTAACTACCCAAACATGTGGGCATAGGCCAGGGGATTTGCGCATGCGGGGCTGCTCGAAGCTAGGCAGCATCCGCCTATGCCCAAATTTCCTCCATTCCATCAGAAGTGGGGCACCGGCCGGGCACGCCAAGCTCTTCTTTCCAGCTGTTCCAATGTGAGCCAACAAGTACAAAACAGTGACAACACAACACAAACCAGAGCCAAGAACCAACCAACACTCAAAAGAGCCAAACAGAACCAAAACAAAAATCGCTGTTGTCTCCGTCAGCCAGCCTGAACACGGGTGTTGACATAGTTGAACGTGTGTTGAGCTTTGAGCGTTGCCTGGACTGTTGGTTTTGGTTGACCCCCTTTTCAAGTTTGTACAGCCCGAATTAGACTTGGGCTCGTCGCTTTCCGCTTCCGCGGCCCGTTTCTTGAAGATCCACCGCCGCCCGCCACTGGCGACTTACGAGCCACCTGGGGTGGGCCGAGACTTGGACAGACGGATGAACTGTGTGGATTCCACATATGTTTTTGAGACAGCATTTTTTAAAATCATGATTATCATGCTGCCGCCTGAAGGATACGGTATGCCATTGGCGTGGGTATCCCATATGACATTTTGATGTTCATTTCTCCAGCAAGGCCGACCGTCATTTGTGTCATCCATTGAACTCGTTGAACCCATTGCAAGCCCTTGTAGCTCGCACCCCTCCAAGCGAACAAGAGTTGCCGTGAAGGAAGTGTTTCTAGTTGACAAGCCTGGCAATTTCGGCCGAAAGGGATGGTCTCTGCAATTGCGAGCTGAGAGCACTGAGACCCCGTCATTGAATCCAGACTCAGGATATAGGTGGTACTGTGGAGGGACGAAATCCATTTCGCACCACCTAAGAAGCCCTGGCATGATGATTCACCTGTGAATACCAACCGACCATGGATTCCCATGGTTTCAAAGTGGTTCGAAATGGATTTTGTCCCTCCACAGTATGCCTCCAAGAAGGGGACTGCTTCTTTTTTCAAACTTGCAACTGCTTTGTGTGAGAGACCTACTTTTGCCGGGCCCACCCCTAGCACCATCGAAGCGTGGAGCCAGCACATCGGCAGAGCACTCAGGCAGCTGTCCGCTTGGGTCATTTTTTGAGGCCATCCATAAGCGGCAAGAAGGCAACGTGAAGCCAAGAGGTAGACACATCCTGGTTGATAGATGAAGATGAAAGCACCAGATAAAGCTTCAACGCTTTAAGGAGTGTTTTTCAGGGCGGTTTAAATTCGGAAGACTCAAGCAGCTGATCAGCTCGCGATGTGAATTCTTAATCTTCTTGGCAACTTGGGTTGGGATGGACTAAACATGACTCGACGATCTTGCATCCCAATCCAGGCGCTTTGAAAAATGCATTTGAATAAATCGTCATGCTCGAGAAATGCTTGACAGTACAGCATTTTCCTTCAGCATTTTCCTTCAAGACCCATTCCCGTGGGTGCCAGTAGGGGAGCGCGGAGTCTTCAAGAGGCTGCAGACTGGTCGTAGGGCGGCTGCAGCCAGTGTTTCAAGCAAGACACCCGTACCACCCGAAGTGGCTGCTGAAGTTTTCGGAAACGGCTCTTGAGAATGCACAGTGGCGTTGCGGCGCAAAACTGTGCGGGCTGCTGCTTGTTTGGGAATACAAGCACAGGAGGAGAATCGGTATGATACGGCAATGGTGATTCGTGCAATTTGTCGAGTCATCTAGTCTTACCTTGTTCTTTATTTAAACGACCGCTAGTCTGCAATGAAGGGATGCCTTTCACATGATTCACAGGATTCCAAAGCTCAAACAGCGTTGTCTCAGCTTCCCCTCATATCCCAGTTGTGCAGCGGTGCCCTTCTTGTTCCCTTTGGGGGGTCCCGGTTGATGGCTGGCGATCAACCTGATGTTCGTTTCTCACAGGGCGACTGAGATGTCGTTCGTTTGCACATCGTGGCGCAGGTTCTACGCCTGTGAGATTCTGCTCGCCATTGAGTACCTGCATAGGCCAGGCCATTCACAAGGGTGCTGATTTACCTAAGGCGCCATGGTTTTGGAAGATTTGGTGTTAGAGCCTGGTTTTGCAATGCCAAGGCAATCCCTTTTAAAGTAATAAACTAGTCTTTGGGCTGGCCACGTTGGAATCACAGGAAGGTTTTTCCCCAACAGCTCAAAGCTTTGGGGTCTCAGCCCAGATAGGCTCCGGGGTGGTCTGGGGCGGCCCTGAGGAAAGGTTCCACGAGGCGGAGTTGTTCAGCAAGAGTTCAAGTCGACGCATGCCGAAGACCTTTCCCCCCAGTCCATCTCCCCTTTGGGTCAATTGTATTTCTGATCCCGTGGTCGGCGACAGCGGAAGCCAGGAGATTAGTCATCAAATATCCGTTTCGAGCTTGCCGCCCATTAACATCCGCTGTGAGGTGAGTCAAGTCCTCCCAGGAAGCGAATGCGCGAGTGTCAAAACTCTGGGGTGGATGCGTCTCACAATCGGAATCTGCCCATTTCCTGAAATTGGCAATGGTTCCCTTCCAAACTTCCGCAAGACAGGCTAACCCCCACCTGTTTGCAGCGCAGATCAGGTGCTGTCAGGTGACAAAGACGAAGGGCACACTGGTTTGCCATGCAGCACGATGCAAAGGATGTCCGCCCAAGGTTCCGTTTCCCAATTCTGAGATTGCTATGAATTTCCCCATTTCATGGGTGAAGGTCGGGCTTTCCTAGGACAAGGAGACCAACACCGTGCCAGGTTGAACATCATCTATCGGGACCTCAAGCCAGAGAACATCCTGCTGGATGCGGATGGTGCGGAGTGGGTTCTGCGGGCTTGGGCAGATAGGGACGGTGGATGTCTGAAATGTGCTGTAAACTACACTGGCTTGAGGTCAACAACTGGCCCAATGAACTGACCCTTTGCTTCAATTTGCTTATTTTTTGATTTTCCCCTTTTGGTTTTGAAGGGAATCTATCACTGCTGGAATTTTCATGATTTTTGCATCTTGGCCCCTGTGGCCTGCTTTGGGGGCGAGGCGTTGGTCGTCAGTGGCAGGCCATGTGAAGTTAACGGACTTCGGGCTTAGCAAGGAGGGCATCCAGGACGGGGTTCTGCCAACGCCCACGAGCCAAGCCAAACCGCAGAAAGCCGACGGGAGAAAGAGCCGCAAGAGCTTTTTTAAAAAGGGTGAGTGTGGTGTTGAAAATAGAAGGGTTCCACTGGGTTAGATGGGTTTTATGACCCATTTAGCAGAGGGCCACCTATTTTCCAAAAGGACCAGATTTGTTGCCGACCAGATTTTTTTCCTCGCTGGACTGGAGCTGTGAGGACAACTTTTCAGCACGATCCATGTGTGGCGGGCGCCTCAGTCCGTGCCGCGGGCGCCTCCCCGGTTCAGCCCGGTTAAACCGGAGCCAACGTTCGCGGGGTAAGGAGCTGGGGGGCTGCGCCTCTTGAGCTGTGGTTCGAATGGATGCGTGCAAGGTACTCCAGAGTATCTGGCGCCAGAGATTCTGGACAAGAGAGGGCATGGGAAAGCTGTTGACTGGCCCGGGGCCCAAGTTGCACTTGTCAGTGGCTTTCCTTCCTTGGCACTGGCAGCTGGATACTCGCAACATCGCTTCAGGAAGGCAGTGGGGGCAGTGGGGGGTTGACGAAACGAGGGGCCCCCGCCCCATGTTGTGGGTCTCCCCTTTCAAACGCAGCACCTGCGCCCACAACATTCCCTGAAAAGGTGCCCATAGGTTTTGGACCCATCCAACTTGTTGGGGTTTGGAAGGTGGGATGCTTATAAACCCCAAGGATGCATCCAATCCCCTCGCGGGGCCCCTTTTGGGGTTTTGACCCCTGGAACTCGGAGCCAGGTACTCCCTGGGGGCGTTGATGTACGAGATGCTCACCGGGCCGCAGCCTAAGGGGCTCGCTTGGCGACACCTGGACATGGACCGCAGGTTTTTGGTCCTTGGCGAGCCATTTACCAGGGATCCATAGCCATTTTGGGGGGTCACCCTATGTTTTTGACCCGCAGCGAGTTGGAGGGGTCAACAGGGGGGAGGCCATTTGGGATGCTGCTTTTCACAGAAGGGCTCTTGCGTCCGCCGCAGGCCTTTCTGTTTGAAGGGCCTTCACTCAAAGCTCCTCAGCCGCGGAATTCGACCCTCTCAGACCAAAGTTCAAGCCTGACGGAGGCCTTTTAGCCAGGCCATCCAGGCCTCACACTGAACAGATCGCAAAGGTTTTGTTTTTGTCGCAAACGCATTTCTGTTTTTGTTTGCAACTCTTTCATGGGTTGTGGTGGGCCATGAGGTTGTTTGCACTCGGCCCTTCAAGTTGGTCTCAGTCTCGGTCCCAAAGCCGCTAGCCCGTCCGACGAGAGGCTGCCTCCTTTCTACACAAGGGACAGAGAGAAGCTCTTCGAGGCGGGGGATGGATTGGTGATTCAAGAGGTTATGGGATGGGATTTAGGGGAGTCAACAGGGAGGCCAACCATTTTTGGCCCACCTCAGGACATGCATCGTGATGGTGCCCTTATTTGGAGACTGTTTGCAAGGGAGCGATGGCGACTGGTTCCAAATGAGTTCCCTTATTTGGAGACAAGCCAAATCATCAAGCTGACGGGAGCAGTGCTACTGCGGGTTCTAATTGAAGCAGGGGTTGCTTCCCTTCAACCTACTAGTGGCAACCTAAAGGCCAGGTGTAGAGACGAAGATGGTTTTCACGCATGTGAAACCGACCACGTGAAATGAGGAGCCATCCTGCCGTGCCAACCGCGGTATCTGCAGCACGTATGGTCCAAGTCGCCGGTGTTTCCGCATTGGTTTGGGCCTCAGAATGCCTCGACTCGCTGTGCATTTGTCTACCCTCAGCGATCCAACCTTTATTTTGCCAGGTTGGTGGGAATG